TCTGCAGGAGGACCACACCCAGCGGGTGAGGGGCGGCAACATTCACCCTGTAGTATCTGGCGAATGTGCTCGGAGATGCCCATGTGGCCACAGCACATATGTCCTCCAGAGGCACACCTCTCCAGGTTGCCCATGATGTGGAGACACTCCTGGTAGAGTGGCACTTTACTCTAGGTGGCAAGGGACGGTCATTCGCCTTGTATGCCTGGGCAATGACGTCCACAATCCAGTGGGACAAGCGCTGTTTTGAGAGCGCACAGCCCCTTCTAGGACCACCGTAACCCAAAAAGAGCTGCTCAGACTGACGCATGCCAGCGGTAGTCTGGACATAAGCTCTAAGGGCCCGCACCGGGCATAGGAGTCTTGACCTCTCTTCCCCCTCTCCTGATGGGGGGTCAAACCGTGCCAGCTGGATAGGCCGATTAAAATGAGAGCGTGCCAGCACCTTAGGGAGGAACGCTGTGTTCGGCCAAAGGTGACACCTGAGCCATCTGAGTTCCACCTCAGACACGAGCTGTTCACGGACAAGGCCTGAAGCTCGCTTACACGCTTTGCTGAGGTGATGGCAAGAGGGAAAGCAGTCTTAGCTGAGAGCCACTTCAGTTCTGCCTGTAACAAAGGTTCAACAGGAGGCGAGCATAGGGCATCCAGCACCAAGGGCAGGTCCCATGTAGGGGCCCTGCCATAAGAGCCCCGGCGCTTTTAACCCCAGGGCACTAATGGCGCATTTCCACCACACGGTCGGCCTCGGCCACGCTCGGTACTGCTTGGCCGCGTTGGGCCTTAACAGGGCCGGCTCACTTCATGCTGCGCTTCCATTACAGTTTAGGAACTGGGGTAGTTACTATAGTAACGCAGTGTAGGCGGAGCCGTGACGTCATCTTCAATGAGAACCCCAGAAAAACAACACAGCCGTTAGCTGTTAGCACTCAGAGCTCACAGCTCCTCATATATGTTCAGAAACTCGACAAAAGTTAAACAAGTACAAACCACAGACTGCCTGTGTCATGGTGAATACAGTCGCTGCTTTATTTATGTCTGTATAGGCCGTTGTTGTGAGTGTGGACGGTCGGAGCATATACTGCGTTAGCTTAGCCAATCTCCATCTAGAAAACACGCATTTTAAAAGGTTTTTCGCCTGCCGTCTGTCTGCAGACTTGACAAAGCATTAATTCATGGTTTTTACTAACCGGTATCAGTATGTTGTTACTTCGGCATCATTTTGAAACATGTATTACAATTAAATCACGGTCAAATATGTCCATCTTGTTGTAGTTGTAGCCCCCTTGCCAGCGATTCTCTCTCTAGTTTAGCATACTCAGCCCGACTCAGCCCTGTTTGTTGGCCCCGATAGAACCACAATTTTGTCGGGCCAGAAAAGAGGTGAAAAAGTGGCCCCGGGCCGGGCCGGGCCGTAACTAGGCCTAGTGGAAGCGCAACCAAAAACGGGCACGGCACGACACGGCACGCTTAAACCGCGCTCCGCGCCATGGTGGAAATGCGCCATTAGTACAGATCGCGTTCACACCGGAGTACTTTTCCCTGAGGGAAGATTACGCAAATGAGCCGCTGACGTCACTTCTTCTTCTTCTGCTTTGGCTTTACTGGCAGGCCACAAACCACTTCACGGCGAGTACAGTAGGTGGCGGTATGCACCTTAAAGTTGTTTGCAATCCGCTGCAAAACAAGAGAAGAAGAAGAAAAACTTCCCGCGTATACTGCGACGCCCACCCACTCGCTGTACATTAGGCGTCTGTTGTTTACCTTCCGACCTCAGACATGATGGAGATGGAGTCGACTGAAGTTGTGCTGTTTGTGCTCATGTTATACAGCTTTGTAACTGAGTTCATGCAGCCTGAGCAACTTGCGTACAATAACAAAACAAGCCGAGCACGAGTGGTGGTGGAGAACGCTTTTGGCAGACTGAAGGGCAGGTGGCGGTGCTTGATGAAAAGAAACGACTGCAAGATGGACAAGATCAAAATCCAGGTGGCAGCATGTTGCATATTACATAACCTTTGTGAAAGTAATGAGTACAGGGACGAATGGACTGCCTTACCGGCGACCCAGCTTTATGGGCCAGCCATTGCCGAGGCTGGGGGGCAAGACACGCCACAGCCCTTATGAGGCATCTGAACAGCGTGTAAATTGTAAACATTTTGACAATAAAGACGATCTTTTGTACAGTGCTTTTGTTTCTCTTTTATTTTCCAGTCAAGACAGGCAACATTACAATAGTGTACAGTGTGGCAATATAATAACAATAAACTGTGCCAGGTGTGTTGTATGCACAGTAAATAGGCTCAGCAGCAAACCCACCGTTATTATTTATCTTCCTGAGACCCACTGCATCCGTCTGCCATAAACATACATGTTAGTTTCGGCCCATAGTGGACTCCATTTTGTGTTGTGTAAAATGGAGGGGAATTAAAAGTTTGCAAATCCCCATGTCCTCCTCAGAGGACAATCATAAACACATTTAGTTTTAGGTCAAATAATATTTAAAATTATATAAATTATCATATGTGTGTATGTGCCCCTGCCATTCCTCCACAAGGTTGCAACATTGATGATAAATGACAAATAAAGCTTTGCCAGTTTGTAACCGATGAAACATGATGGTATCAGAATAATCACTTCCATGTGATGTATAGGATGCTACACAGGTCACTAAAGATAAAGTGTCAGGAGAAATAAGCAAGATACAGGATCTGTTTAACAGTAAATAGAAGTTCACATTTTTAATGTAAATAAAATAGAAGTTGTACATGTAAATTAACATTATCAATATAAAAGAAAGTGTCAGTTGTATCAAGACTATATAATAACAGTAATAACAATAATATAAAATGAACTGGTGAGCATCTTGTCCTCCGTTTCCTGGGCCTTGGTGAACAGCACCATCTGATCCCCGTGCATCGACTCTTTCACCACGGCACGCCGGTCCTCCAACGCCTGGGCGGTGTCAAAGAAATTCGCATCCCGTGTCCGCTTTCCTAAGAGGGGAAAATAAGCAAGATACAAGATCTGTTTAGTCGCCATGTAGTTTTACAACATACTAGGAATGTGTTTTTTGTATTTTCACAAATAGAATTAAGGTTTCACAAATCTGAAACTGTGTTATAAAGAATGTTTAGCCTCTCTGGGATAATCCAGTCCAGATGTGATGAGTGTAGGTATAGTGGTTTTAGATCAGGACCTGGTCTAATGTGGCCAGGATGCGAAAAAGCACTAAAATCTCTCTTTTTTGTATTTTCACAAATAGAATTAAAGGTTTCACAAATCTGAAACTGTGTTATAAAGAATGTTTAGCCTCTCTGGGATAATCCAGTCCAAATAAATCGGCTATGCAGCGATTTAAGAGGTTCAAACACGGAGGATTGTTCCTTTTTGAAGAGTGCTTCATGTATGCTTGAACTTTGTTTAATGTTGTTGAGGCAAGTTAAACATAAAATATGATGAATATTATGAAATAAACATGATTGTGAACATCAGTTCGATGCGTAACGTTCTTTCAAGACAAAGTTACAGTGTGTGTACCTTTGCGTTTGGTTGCTGGTAAGGAGGACGAGCTAGCGCTGTGATCTAGAATGCAAAGCTCGCTTGTTTCCAATCCCGAGAGTTGTCCATCCTCGCCTGAAACAGACGATTAGTGCCATGAGTTAGTGAAGCAAATTACAGAAACACTGCACAGTTATTCACAAGTCAAAACGTTTTCATAGCGGCCGAGAATATCTAGCTAGCTAGATGTAGCTAGCTCGGGGCCGGTGTTAGCCTATTCAGCCTAGCATGGCTAGCTTGATCTACTGAGCAAATAAAAGTACATCTGAGACCATTATTGTGCAGATTAAAACCCCAGTGCATGTAGTTGATTTTACCTTCATCGTGGTAGTCATCGTTGGCCACTGAATCCGCCGTTTGTAGTCCTGAGTTTCTTTATTTTTAGCCGGCTGTGCACGATTCCCAGGTCGAGTGAAAGCTACTGAACTGGCTTCAGTAGCATTCCCTGGGTCGCGTCCTCGGCGTAGATCTCCAGAAGCGACGACACCTCCTCATCATCATTTCTTGATGCTTGCCATAACTGCTTTCAAAAACAAACCCAACGCTCCGTTGGTGCGTTGGGTTTTTGTAGCGAGGAAAAACAATGGTGTCTCCACACAACATTTTTACAGTTGTACGGGCGTGGTTTGCAATTCGCCCAGCCAATCAGCACTGGGGCACTTTTGGGGCACTTTTCACCCACAGAAAAGTACGCTCTCCCAGCGGGCTCTAAAAATGGGGGTAAAAGTACCCGAGATTAAGTACGATTTTTGGTGTGAACGCGACATAAGGGGTACTCACGGAACTAAACGCGAAAAGTACGGTGAAAGTACTCCGGTGTGAACGCGGCTCCTGATTACATTCTTTGAATTGAAGAATAAGAATATATTAACTCAATATAATTGAATCAGCTAATTTGACTCAGCAGATCATAATAATATTTCTAATTGTGCATATATGTCACTTTGGGTTTACTGTGAACGTTTAGGGTTAAAGTCCCGATGTGACATCAGTGTCACAGCGATGTTTGTCTCATTTGTTTCATATCAATTTGATCAAGAAATGTCTCCACAACAGGTTAAATGTAATAAAGGACATGTTATGTAAGCATTTTATTTCTTAAATGGCTTGAATTTTACCTTTAGCAACAACAACAAAAAGCTTTTGAAATGTAGCTCGTTCTGTCACATGTGTTAGTCTGGCACATGGACATCTTGGACACGTTGTCATGGGAACAGAAAATCACATGACCTGGCCCAGGACCCAGCAGACTGTTCAGGGTGTGTCACTTAGGGACTTCATGAGATAAAATAAAGGCTAAAGCGGTATAAGGAACTTTCCAGAACATTTAAAGTTCATGTGACACCCGTGTCACGTTGGGTCCTTACAAAAGTATTTTCGCTTTATTCATCGCTTTCAGTAATTTCTCTATAATTCCTGTAGATGGAAGCAGAGCACCAGGCAGAGAATGTACACGAAGAAGAATCCAAAGTTATGACCGGAAGTGTTTTTTCTGCCTCACGCTGTTGTTGATGCTGTTCTCACATTAGCTATTTCCTCCTTGAATCTGAAGGTAAACAACTCCCTTATTCACCAAATAGTGGGATGTAATTCAGAGGAAAACACAAGTACAGTCCGCCCTTTGTTTTTATATATCTTTGTCATGTTTATATGAGCTAACTGGCGGTCGTGGAAGCTAATATCTGTTAGCCGCATCTGGAGCTAGCGAGGTTAGCATGTTCTAGCTAACGCAATGAGAAAGCTCGATAGCAGGTGGAGAAACGAAAGCTAGTGGCAACACTTGGTAGGAAATGTAGCTTAAACTTTCCGTGACATTCACAAGTACACACGCCAAGCTAACACTGGTATTACAAACGTGTGTACAGGTAGCTTTTCTAACGAGAAGGTTAAGTATCTAATGAGAGAAGTTAGACTAAGTTGTTCAAATAATCACACCAGAGTTATGATTGTTTGGCACTCATTGTTTTATTAACAATCATAACTCCTAGGCTTCAGTCCAGCTTGAACCAATACTTAGAAAGCAGTTACTTCATGTTAGTATGTCAAAACTGGTCCGTTGTTAATAGGTGGTGGAAGAAGTTGTGATTACTTAAGTAAAAGTAGAAGTACCAGAGAGTGAGAATACTATCATATGTATTATAAGTTATGGTTATAATTTATTGATGAAGTGAAGTGTTATCCAAGCTGTCAAAGGTGTTTTAATGACTGTATGCTGCAGGGTAGCTTGTCAATGTTACTCCAGGTGTAACTAAAGTCTGTATGTATGATTCAAAAGTAATAGTTCAAGTATGTTCATGAACCCTTAATTGTGACCTTGCCTCGCTGTTATTGCCAGTATGACAGTATGGCTTTTTCTACTTGTTACAGATACCAGAGATGAAAAAACAAGACACCCAGGGCAGTGAGGATCCAGCAACCGCAGAAGGGATGGAGACACCTGCAGCTGCACAAGACAACTTAGACAGCCCTAAAGAGTCTGAAGTACAGACACCTCAGACAGAAGCACTTCCTGAGGACACACAGCTACAGACGGACACACCTCAGCTGACGGACACACCTCAGCTGACGGACACACCTCAGCTGACGGACACACCGCCTCAGGACACATCACCTCAGCTGACGGACACACCTCAGCTGACGGACACACCGCCTCAGACGGACACACCTCAGCTGACGGACACACCGCCTCAGACGGACACACCTCAGCTGATGGACACACCGCCTCAGACGGACACACCTCAGCTGACAGACACACCGCCTCAGGACACATCACCTCAGACGGACACACCTCAGCTGACGGACACACCGCCTCAGGACACATCACCTCAGACGGACACACCTCAGCTGACGGACACACCGCCTCAGATGGACACACCTCAGCTGACGGACACACCGCCTCAGGACACACCAGCAAAGACAGACACACCGCAAGAGGATGAGGCAGGAAGTGAAGGTAGAGTCTGAGTTATTTACATTGCAAATTGTATTTTCTAACAGTACCGACACGGTTACATGAGAACCATTGATAACATGACATAACAGTAGGGAGTTGTTGTTGGCCTTCCTCCATGTTTGAAAGGGTTCATTGTTTAATGATTGATATCGGAAAGGAAAACAATTGTGTTTTCTTTAACATTAAAGGGCTTTTTTAAATGTTCTCATAGAGACCAAAAAAGTATGTGTTGAGCTGAAAATGAGCTTAAATACTTCCTATAATATTCGTTGGTATCCCAGTTTGATGAATTAGCCACTTAAAATGTAATAGTAAGTCATCACAGAAATTATGAATGGTTTGCTTTTTAGGTGGACAACAAGGTAACATCACATAGTTCATATATTGTCATGTGACAAGAAATCTACAGAAATCCAACCTTAAAGGGGACCTATCATGCAAAATGCACTTGTGTACGTCTTTTCTACATGAATATGTGTCCCCGGTGTTCCAGGGAACTCACCAAGTGTCAGAAAACACAACCCTCTCTATTTTCCTCCATACCCAAATCTCTAAAAAAGGGGCTGCAACGGATCTGATAAAAACTGATCCAGATTTGAACACTGTCCTGTCAGGACGGTGGCGCTACGGCTATTGGGCCAACTCCACCAATCAGGAGGAGACAGCCACGCCCATTGCCGTTTGAAAGCGCTGGAGATGCTGTAGTACATATGCCAGGCCTGTAGGTGGTGGTGTTCTCACTGAATCTGCCCTTGCTAAAACAGAGCTAAAAAATGTCAAATAGAGCAAAATGAGGCATGGCTAAAATGCATGATCTGTTTGGTATTTTGAAAAAAAAAAAGTATAAATATGCCTTATATAGGTATGGTCCTACACTATATTATTCAAATATAGCATGATAGGTCCACTTTAAACTTGTGTTTAGGATTGCTTACATTACAAAAATGCATATTGACTATACATGAGAGTAACACATGCGTCACTTCCAGGCAAAAAGCACGGCTCCGCCCACTTTTGGGGGGAAACAAAGCTGTCATTTGAACGGCGGTCGATACAAATTCTGAAGTTTTTGCTAATCCGATCAGAAATGTAAGAAAACTGTGGATTTTCTGATCTTCAAAGAGCCCGATTACGATGACCAGATAGGCAAACAATTACATTACATCATTTGAAATCGACGATCGGGCTCGATATATGGTTAAACATAGCAGTAGGCGATCGATGTCCATAGATGAGAGTAACACCTACATCACTTTATGGCCCCGCCCACTTTTGGGGGAAACAACGCTGTCATTTGAATGAAGCCTGAAGCCTGAAGCCACAGAGCTCTTCTGTTACTGTCCTTTCTTCTTAGAGGAAGTTCAGAAACACTGAACTCTGGATTTGTTTTATTAACCGCGTTCACACCAAGTACTTTGCAGTAGAAGCAGCTGGGACTCCCAGCAGCTTCTACTGAAGCCTTCAGAGTAAATCTCCAGAACGCCGACACCTCCTCATCTCCACCGCTCCCATGTTTTATTTTGTGTTGCCATAAGTTAGTCTCTCTGCGTTTGTGCGCTGGGCGAATGCTAATGCTAATAATGCTAATGCGAGGATAATAAAATGGCGGCTCTACAAAACATTTCAGAGTTGTACGGGGCGTGGTTTGCAATCCGCCCAGCCAATCAGAACTGGGGCACTTTTTTCCCCCAGGAAAGTACCATCTCTCATCAGGCACTAAAAATGGGGGTAAAAGTTCCCGGCACTAAGTGCTCTTTTTGGTGTGAACGCGACATAAGGGGTACTAACGGAACTAAACGGGAAAAGTACGGGGAGTACGCGCCTAATGTGTGAGGTGCAATAAACGACACAGCAGCTTGTTGCCGTGATAAAACTATTATTTTCCGCCTCGCTCATGAGAGTAACAGCCGGCGAAAATTACAGCCTCGCCTACTGATTTTAATTTAACCGTATATCGAGCTTCAAATGATGTAATGTGATTGTTTGCCTGACTGGCCATCGTAACCGGGCTCTTTGAAGATCAGAAAATCCACGGTTTTCTTACATTTCTGATCGGATTGGCAAAAACGTCAGAATTTGTATCGACCGCCATTCAAATGACAGCGTTGTTTTCCCCCAAAGTGGGCGGAGCCGTAATTTTCGCCCGGAAGTGACGTAGGTGTTACTCTCATCTATCGTGAGTGTTCATAAAGTCCTAGTTTCTCCCACTCCTCTGTGTGTAGTTGCCGAGGCGACCCTCTCTCAGAGTGACATGGCGGAGGCGCTGAGCCGGCAGCTGGAGGACATCCTCAGCATCTACTGTCGGGAGAGCCTCTCGGAGGACGGCAGCACCGTGCCCAACGGCCAATCACACGGCCCGGTGCTCAACGGCCTGACCAGCGAGCGGGGGGGCGGCGGCAAGCCGGAAGGGAAAGTCAACGGAGCCGGTAACGGAGGGGAGAAGGAGCAGAAGAAGCCTCAGGACAAGAAGAAAGTGAAGGGTCTGGGTAAGGAGAAGCAGACGTCTCGACTTGACTTCATTATGTTTGGCTCATCGTATCAGATGCTGCAAAATGACCTTGAACTGTAAAGCATATTTGAAATGGTGGTGCAGTGATGAGGTATGTTTGTAGGCCCAAACCAAAAACATATCACACCAACTGTGACTGAAAGAATATTGCTTTTATTTTACTTTTTAATGGTTATTTCATTATTTGTTTGTTGTCATTTGTTTGTGAGAAGGGGCAGGTCGAATAAGATGTTCTTCTCCCCGCTCCTTTCCACCATGCGCTATGAAAAAAACAACCAGTATAAGTGCACATGTTTTGTTTTAAAATAACTGCCATGTGTGAAATAAATACATAAATATTAAACATTGTGTTCACCTTAAGACGAGGGAACCAGGAAGTGGTCAAATGCTGACTCACTTCCAGGTTTTAGGACTCATCCCTGCACCACTCTTTAGTTTAGAAACTTTAGAAACATAATCTGCTAAATACTTACTGTTCTGTTCAGTTTTCTAACGTGCTCTGTTCTCCCGTCCTCTCTGGTTTCCTTTGTTCTGCAGGCAAAGAGATCACTCTGCTCATGCAGACTCTGAACACCCTGAGCACCCCAGATGAAAAGCTTGCAGGCCTCTGTAAGAAGTACGCTGAGCTGGTGAGTGTTTGTGTGTGAAGTCAGCTGACCCTGACTCTGGTGGCTTCTATGGAGGGCTGCTCTATTAGGGCAACAACCATAATCACCATCAGTGTTTCCCACAGAATCTGATTATATTTGTGGGGGCACCGCACCCCCCCTGGCAAGAAAAGCCAAAGGCCCCTTAACCTATTCGGGTGGCCCACGCATCCACCCCCCCCCCACAAATAAGAAAATACATGCGAGTTCAGGGCTACTGTAGACAACGTTCTTGTTGCTCTGTGTTGTTAATGAGTGAGACACACCGGAGTTCAGGATCTGAGGGGTTTATTCTCCCAACAATATAATTTACAATTCAGGCATTTAGCAGACGCCTTATTCCAAAGCGACTTACAATGACCCATTACAGGGACATTCTCCCTGGAGTAACTGAGGGCTAAGGGCCTTACTCAAGGGCACACTAGTAGTGGTGTTCCAGGCGGGATTTGAACTCGCAACCTTCTGATCATCAGCCCACCTCACTATCCATTAGGCCAAGGGTTCCCAAAGTGGGGGTTGTGACCACATGCATGGGCTGTAATCAAATGAGAAAGAGATTACAAATTCCATCAAATGAAAGCTGCACGTTTGAATGTTGGCAGGCTGAGGCCGGCTTTATCTAGTTTGACATTGAAACACCTTAACAACCTCTGTGTGTGTGTGTGTGTGTGTGTGTGTGTGTGTGTGTGTGTGTGTGTGTGTGTGTGTGTGTGTGTCAGCTGGAGGAGCACCGTAACACCACGAAGCAGATGCGGGTGCTGCAGAAGAAGCAGAACCAGGTGGTGCAGGAGAAAGACAACCTGAGGACCGAGCACAGCAAGGCCATCCTCGCTCGCAGCAAGCTGGAGAGTCTGTGCCGGGAGCTGCAGCGACACAACCGCACGCTGAAGGTACCAGAACACCCCCCCCCCCGTTAGATACAAGGGGTTCAGGTACCAGAACCCCCCCCCCCCCCCCGTTAGATACAAGGGGTTCAGGTACCAGAACCCCCCCCCCCCCGTTAGATACAAGGGGTTCAGGTACCAGAACCCCCCCCCCCCGTTAGATACAAGGGGTTCAGGTACCAGAACCCCCCCCCCCCCCGTTAGATACAAGGGGTTCAGGAGGAGAGACACACTGCTGCAAGATGTCAATAAGCTTACTAGTCATCCGGTCAGCTTTCGTCATTCGATGCATTGACTCCAGCTTTGAGACAGGTTTCTTTGTGGAGGTGCATTTCAAAGAGTGAGCTTCCCACAGTCTAGTTGTGCAACGCTACATTAACAATCCTTTTGCACACGTTATACATCTTCCACCTGCAGGAGGAGGGGGTGCAGAGGACGCGCCTGGAGGAGGAGAAGAGGAAGGAAGTGACCTCACACTTCCAGGTGACGCTGAACGACATCCAGGCTCAGATGGAGCAGCACAACGAGAGGAACGCCAGCCTGAGGCAGGAGAACACGGAGCTGGCAGAGAAACTGAAGAAGCTCTACGACCAGTACAAACTGAGAGAGGAGGTGAGTGCAGAGTCTCTCTTTAAAGGCCCCCTATTATTCTGCTTTTCATTAATATATTACAGATATATACAGAACATGTCTCCGATTGGCTGAAACACCAAACAGATCATTGCAGCATTACCCATAATCCCCCCTGTCTGTTACTTTAGATCAATGTTTCTCAAACTTTTTCATACCAAGGACACTTAGCCAATAAAAAACACTCACGGACCACCTGACTCACAAATATCCAGAAACAATAGGCCTGCTTACTAGAGATGTCCCGATCCGATCACGTGATCGGGGATCGGATCCGATCAGGTGATTTTCAAAAGATCGGAATCGGGAGAAAAAAACGGGGATCGGGATTTTTTTTTTTTTATATAATTTTTTTTAATTTTATTTAATGTTACAAAACAAAAATGACCATGTTCACGTCTTAAAGTCTTCCTGAGGCCTTAGTTTTGGTTTAAAATTACACTACATCATGTATGTGTTGCTTCTTTTGGGCTTGTTTTCATCGACCTGGTTGCTTATTTCTCTCAAATCTGGCAACAGAGTGGGCGCAGTGTCTAATAGTAGCAGTAAGCTAACGAGAGGCTACGTTCAGCTGGTGACTCGGGAGTCGGGACAGAGAAAATGTCAGGAGTTTGGAAGTATTATAAAATTGAAAGCGAAGGCAGTGTAACAGCCAGATGCAATGTTTGCAAGGCGGAGGTTCCGCGTGGTGGAAAGAACAGAGCTACGTTCAACACGACCAATCTAATACAAACACCAACAACAACACGAGGAGTCCACAGCGGCCACTCAGGTAACGGCACTGAAACAACCGACACTTTCAGAGACTTTTAAAAGGAAAGAGAAACTGCCCCAGAACAGTGAAAAGGCCAAAAAAAGAACAGCCAAGATAGCTGAATTCATCGCGTTGGATGACCAGCCGTTATCTGTTACCTTTTTTTTCTCTGAATGCATTGCATAAAGATCGGATCGGGAAAAATCGGTATCGGCAGATTGTCAAAATCAAATGATCGGAATCGGATCGGGAGCAAAAAAAGGTGATCGGGACATCCCTACTGCTTCCCACTCCAACAGTTTATAACAGCCTGATAATGACAGCTTAACCTTCTCTGCATCGCCTCGTTCACACATTAAATCAACAATACAAATACAACTACAGATTATATCAGCATTTAGTTCAAATGTGATTTAAAATGCTCTCAGGTTTTACACCTCTAATGAAATGTAGACTACATTTATTACGGAGTTTATGTCCAACAGACTCACAGATCGTTGGCTACTGAGAGAAATGCCAATACACCACAAAACACAGTAAGCTATGGTCGCAGGCCCAAGTCTAACTCTCTGAGGTCTGAGCCATGTTTTCACATGTTAGGCTCACAGGACTTTTTCTGTAAAAATGCTATTAAAACATGAACCTTGGTGACCATGGGGCTGGCCTGCATGGTCTGCCCCAACAACAGCCTCTGATCATCAACAGACTTCCTGCAATGCTTCATCTGATGCATGTATTAGATAATAATCTCTATCTCACTCCTAAAACATCTAAATCTACTTTCAGCGTGGATACATGTTCATAAAATACATCCATTGTTTGTTCTATATGCTTCTTGAAATCTAAAAGAAAACACATAGTTTTTCTAGAACGGATTACAAATCGCCTGAAAACGGTACAAACAAGTGGCAACATGTGTGACGAAGGTGTGGCGCTGGGCGATGTCATGCAATGCAAAAGTGAATCTGAAGCTCGCTCCATTGCGGAGATATTCCCGCGAGAGTGCGGAAAACTTAAAGTGGACCTATCATGCTATATTATAATAACATACTTTTTTTTGTTCAAAATACCAAACAGATCATGCATTTTAGCCATGCCTCATTTCGCTCAATTTGACAATTTCTAGCTCTGTTTTAGCAAGGGCTGATTCAGTGAGAACAGCACCATCTACAGGCCTGGCATATGTACTACAGCGTCTCCAGCGCTTTCGAACTGCAATGGGCGTGGCTGTCTCCTCCTGATTGGTGGAGTTGGCCCAATAGCCGTAGCGCCACCGTCCTGACGTCAGGACAGTGTTCAAATCTGGATCAGTTTTTATCAGATCCGTTGCAGCCCCTTTTTTAGAGATTTGGGTATGGAGGAAAATAGAGAGGGTTGTGTTTTCTGACACTTGGTGAGTTCCCTGGAACACCGGGGACACATATTCATGTAGAAAAGGCGTACACAAGTGCATTTTGCATGATAGGTCCCCTTTAAATGAATTAACTAATTTCATATCAATATACTGACGGACCACTAGGGGGCGCTCACGGAGATGTATAAAAGACATGAAAAAGTGGATTTTGCATAATAGGTGACCTTTAATGGAATGTCCGAGAACTCAAAATAGTGTTTCCCGCAGTTTGGCTGGATGTGTAACGGACTCTCTATCCCTCTGACCCCAGCACATAGACACAGTGGATGTGTAACGGGCTCTTTATCCCTCTGACCCCAGCACATAGACACAGTGGATGTGTAACGGGCTCTTTATCCCTCTGACCCCAGCACATAGACACAGTGGATGTGTAACAGGCTCTTTATCCCTCTGACCCCAGCACATAGACACAGTGGATGTGTAACGGGCTCTTTATCCCTCTGACCCCAGCACATAGACAAAGTGGATGTGTAACGGGCTCTTTATCCCTCTGACCCCAGCACATAGACACAGTGGATGTGTAACGGGCTCTTTATCCCTCTGACCCCAGCACATAGACACAGTGGATGTGTAACGGGCTCTTTATCCCTCTGACCCCAGCACATAGACAAAGTGGATGTGTAACGGGCTCTTTATCCCTCTGACCCCAGCACATAGACACAGTGGATGTGTAACAGGCTCTCTATCCCTCTGACCCCAGCACATAGACACAGTGGATGTGTAACAGGCTCTTTATCCCTCTGACCCCAGCACATAGACACAGTGGATGTGTAACAGGCTCTTTATCCCTCTGACCCCAGCACATAGACACAGTGGATGTGTAACGGGCTCTTTATCCCTCTGACCCCAGCACATAGACACAGTGGATGTGTAACGGGCTCTTTATCCCTCTGACCCCAGCACATAGACACAGTGGATGTGTAACAGGCTCTTTATCTCTCTGACCCCAGCACATAGACACAGTGGATGTGTAACAGGCTCTTTATCTCTCTGACCCCAGCACATAGACACAGTGGATGTGTAACAGGCTCTCTATCTCTCTGACCCCAGCACATAGACACAGTGGATGTGTAACAGGCTCTCTATCTCTCTGACCCCAGCACATAGACACAGTGGATGTGTAACAGGCTCTTTATCCCTCTGACCCCAGCACATAGACAAAGTGGATGTGTAACAGGCTCTCTATCTCTCTGACCCCAGCACATAGACACAGTGGATGTGTAACAGGCTCTTTATCCCTCTGACCCCAGCACATAGACACAGTGGATGTGTAACAGGCTCTTTATCCCTCTGACCCCAGCACATAGACACAGTGGATGTGTAACAGGCTCTCTATCTCTCTGACCCCAGCACATAGACACAGTGGATGTGTAACAGGCTCTTTATCCCTCTGACCCCAGCACATAGACACAGTGGATGTGTAACAGGCTCTCTATCTCTCTGACCCCAGCACATAGACACAGTGGATGTGTAACAGGCTCTTTATCTCTCTGACCCCAGCACATAGACACAGTGGATGTGTAACAGGCTCTTTATCCCTCTGACCCCAGCACATAGACACAGTGGATGTGTAACAGGCTCTTTATCCCTCTGACCCCAGCACATAGACAAAGTGGATGTGTAACGGGCTCTTTATCTCTCTGACCCCAGCACATAGACACAGTGGATGTGTAACGGGCTCTTTATCCCTCTGACCCCAGCACATAGACAAAGTGGTGAAGCACAAGGACCTGCAGCAGCAGCTGGTGGACGCCAAGCTGCAGCAGGCCCAGGAGCTGCTGAAGGAGTCGGAGGAGCGCCACGACAGAGAGAAACACTTTGTAAGGATCCACTTAAAGGCACTCACACTTTACACAACACACGTCCTGATTTCATGCTTTAATGTCCCGATTATTTCCCCTCGTCTCCTCAGCTGCTGAAAGAAGCGGTGGAGTCTCAGAGGATGTGTGAGCTGATGAAGCAGCAGGAAGTCCACCTCAAGCAGCAGGTTTCCCATCAGTTTAATAACTCCACTGTGATTGGCTCTGTGTTATTAGCGTGTTGCTAACGTGATCAAACCTGTCGTTGCAGCTGTCACTGTACACGGAGAAGTTTGAAGAGTTTCAGAGCACTTTGTCCAAGAGCAACGAGGTCTTCACCACGTTCAAACAGGAGATGGAGAAGGTGAGGGGTCTGGGGGAGTGTGAGATGGAGGGAGGGATGATTGGTGTTTACCTGTGGCTGGATGTGACCGTCTGATTTCCTTTAACAGATGACTAAAAAGATCAAGAAGCTGGAGAAGGAGACGGCCATGTACCGGTCCAGGTGGGAGAGCAGCAACAAGGCCCTGCTGGAGATGGCAGAGGAGGTACGCCAGTTCATTTGTTTTTATCGTCAGTGTGGTATATATTTTGGGGACCTTGAACTCCTGTCTTCCAGCATCACGGAGCTCATGGAAAGTCCTAACTTCAATTATAGTATTACTTTAGTGCTTGTATATCTTCTAGCTGCCAAAACTGTTATGCAGTTTCATAAATATATAATTAAAGGTCACCTATCATGCTATCTGTAGGCAATAGCATAGGTCTCAGATATATACAAATATATAAAAAACACATCTATGAAGTGTTTTGCTCAAAATACCAAACAGATCATTCTAGCCATGCCTCATATCCCTCTATTTCACTTCCTGTTTCAAAAGTGCTGATTTGGGGTATAAAGCTTTAAAAAGGAGGGGGCTGAGCCCATGCGGGACCCGGCAGCTACTGTCTAAACTAAATGCTGCCGTGATGAAACGCCATATCATGGATTATCAAGGATTCTCTCTGAAACAGTATGGAGCTCAAAGGCTTTCTCTCTTGCCGGTTATACCACAAGGTGAGTTCCTTTTTATTTCCTGCTTCTTCACACACATGCTCTCCAGTACAGGTTAGCTCTGAGTGTTAGCGATGCTAATGTAAACACCGACCATATTACGTCCAAAACAGTCGGGCATTGTTTCTGATAGCAACGTTTCTGATAGTGCTGTGGGTCCACATTTCAGATATTACGTCATATCGGACGCTAATCTGGATCAGCTCCGTTGTTCCCCCGTTTTTAGAGATTTGGGTACGGAGGAAAGAGAGAGGGTTTTATTTTCTGACGCTGCGTGAGTTCCCTGACACGACGGCGCTGTGAAAGTCCACCGCCGTTGCGAGTCTCCTGCTGTAACAGTCCACTACCGCCCGCGAGGAACCAGGTTCGATTCCGGCCTGAGGTCCAAAACATTTATTTAAAAAAAATAATAATAATCTCGCGTCCATTCGCCCCACACTTTGAGAAACGCTGGTTGATCGTGAGTTGATCTCCCAAATTGTGTAAGTGCAGAAATCTGACTTGTTTTATAATGTTGTATTGGTGTGTTTCGTACAGAAATCGGTGCGTGACCGTGACTTCGAGGCTCTGCAGGGTAAAGTCCAGCGTCTGGAGAAGCTGCGTCGGGCTCTGAAGGTGGAGCGCAACGAGCTCAACAAGAAGGTGCAGAACCTCAGTTGTCCAGAAGGTGGCGCTGCAGGAGCCCCTCCCTCAACCCCAGGGATGGACTCCCCCTCTCCCCCCCCCACGGACTCTCTCCCTGCCCCGGACGCCCCCCCCTGCTCCCACTCCTGCCACTGTGAGCCACACCTGGACACAGACTCTCTGCTGGAGGAAGCAAAGTCTCTGCCTGTCGCTGTGCACGAATGAAGCATCAAAACCCCCTACCATAAGCCCCCCCCCCCCCCCCGCTTCCTCCTCTGCTGGAAGAAGCTGAAGTTAAACACTGGGTTAAACAGATCAGAAAGCAAGCTTAACTTGTGTCCTCCCAGCATGCACTGCAGGCTTTAGGACGGTGATGAGAAAATGCCTCATCTGTCACATAGCTCAATTACTGTGAAGACCCCTCGTTAAGATCACTGTTTAGTCAAAGCATTCACACAACCTTATTTCTCCCCAGATCCATGTATTCGTCTCTTTAATTCCCACAGGCAGGTTACATTAGCTACAACATGCCATTAGCACTACACCATGCTGCTGTGTGTGTATGGGTCATGGCTTCCAGTCCACCACCTTCAGTGAATCAAAACATCACTTCCAATGTAATCTGAAGGCTGCAGTAACATCGTCTTATCAAACTATCAGTGTGCATTTCAGTTGCTCCGACTCCCTCTGTGTTTGGCTGTACAACTACACATTCCCTTTTTGACAACAGTGCTGCTTGAGAGGACGCATGCTAAGTAGGAATGTGACGAGAGGTCATCTGTGTGTGTGTGTGTGTGTGTGGCCCCTCAGTCTCCTCTCTCAATGTGTTTTGGAAGGTGTGTGATTCATAGCTTCTAATTTCATGTTTTTCTTCCAGTTCTTTACTTTAATATGAAGCTAATAATGTCTCTAGCCGATCCAAATTATAACAGACATAATATAGGATTCTACAAAATTATTAACGGGCATTTCAGTTAGTTTAATTTCCCTTATTTGACAAGTTTCCAGTTCTTGCTTGTCGACCATTTGAGGGGAAATGTTTTCTTGTTTGCATCACACTTATACATTTCCACTGTGTTTGTTTGTGTGTTCTGTATTTATTGTTTAATCATTATTATTTAAATGTATGTATCTTACAGAGCACCACTAAAAAATAAACCTGTTTTTGTTATTCATTAAATACGTGTTACTTGTAGGACCAAATGTTTCATTCCTAGCCTCTTGGTGTGTGTGTGTGTGTGTGTGTGTGTGTGTGTGTGTGTGTGTGTGTGTGTGTGTGTGTGTGTGTGTGTGTGTGTGTGTGTGTGTGTGTGTGTGTGTGTGTGTGTGTGTGTGTGTGTGTGTGTGTGTGTGTGTGTGTGTGTGTGTGTGTGTGTGTGTGTGTGTGTGTGTGTGTGTGTGTGTGTGTGTGTGTCCTGATAATTGCAGTAGCGTGTAATCAGGTTTCAACCAGAGAGTGTTCGAGGACCTCTATGCAACGCTTGCCTTTTGGTCTCAACTCGACGAGCTCTTAGCTGAATGCACCCTCACCCTCTCCTCTGTCCTGCATGGATGTAATGTATAAACCAACAACATATCTCACAGCAGAACCTTATTTGTGCTTAGGATTATTAAACCTTGTTAATCGCCTCTCAGCTGAGCGTAACACTTTCCAAGGAGCAGTGACTGAGCCATATGGGAATAAGTAGAGGAAATGTTATTGGTAGTTTGACCCACATGTCAGTTTATCTTCAGACATTCTTATGTATTCATTCATATTGTTAACAAGACATCAACTCATTTTCCAACGTCCCTCGAGATCAGACTGTTTCTCTGCTCCTGTGGGGGGTGGGGGGGGGGGGGGGGTTCAGTGACGGTGAGAAGGAACCAAAGATGTTTCCTTATTTAGTCTTTTGCAGTACTTTTATCTGGCCCTGTATATTTGTGTTCCTTGTTAATAAAGGATGTAACCGTGTATATTGTGTTGCTGGTTGATTGATCTTGTTGACTTTTACATTACATGTCACTGACGCTTTTACCCAAAGCGACTAACATACACTCCAAAGGAGCAATTTGGGGTGAAGTTTCCAACTCAAGGTTTTGCACATTAGACCCCTGTTTAGACTTTTCTTGATAAGAAATACAAAAGCTGCACAGAAAATGTGGTAACACTTTATATTAAGGTACACATATTCACCATCGTGTTAGCAGTATATTGGCTCTTTATTGGTCAGTATAGGGAGGCAGTGGCGCAGTGGACTAGTGCGTTGATGTTCGGATCAGGGGAGCACAGGTTCAAACCCCACTGCAGTCAGCATGTCGTTGTGTCCCTGAGACACTTCACCCCAAATTGCTCCTGTGGGGATTGTCCACAGTATTGAGTATGTAAGTCGCTTTGGATAAAAGCGACTAACAAGTGACATGTGAAGCACCGCGGGCCAAATCAGGCCCTTGGTGGATTTAATTTCAGCCCGCAGGATAATTTCTAATTCCTATTAGATCTGGCCCGCCGGTATATTGCACGCACACCTTCACTCCATCCTGAGGGTCTCCTCAGCTCAGAGCCTGACCCCAAACATTGATGACCTTGCACCCAAGATGAGATGCCAAGTATCTAAGCTAGCATCACAGAGCAGCACACTGAGTTTACATGTTTCCTTCTGCACTTTTTCTCTTGAGACAACAGGGCATGTTTGGTTTGTTCTTTGAGGGAAATAGTTTTGTTGAAGCTGTTGTTGGCCTGTGGAGAAATGTAATCATAAGAAATGACTCTGGAAAAGCTGCAGATAGAGCCATAAGAAATGAATGCAACTGATTATTTAATGTTTAATGTTGTTTTTATAGGCAATAATTTAAGCTTTGTTAGTTCCAGGTTTAATATGTGCAATACGTTCATTTCAATAAGTTCTGCAATAAACATTGAACCAGTCCGACCCTCCACTAGTACCCATTTTTTATTTTGGCCCACTGTGTATTTGAGTTTGACCCCCCTGCTGTAATGCAATGTAATATCAAACATTTCTGTCCAGTTTTCTTTCTAACCGCTACTGGAGTGTTACACCAGGGGGCGCAATAACTCCTTTTTGCCGTTATTCGCCGGAAGTACGTCACCTTCCTCTTCCGCCGCGGCTCCGGCGCCTGAAACACGAGTGTTCATCTTTTCGTTCTTTACGCGAGGCGCAGATAACACACTGGACCAATTGGCGACACTTTGCTGACAAAAATGGTTAGTATATTTCTTTATGACCATCTCCTACGTTTTATATGTCGATCGGAAAACTAGACTTTCTGTTTGAGGAGATAGTTAGCCCCGGTTCAGTTAGCATATCCACCCTTGCTAACGTTAGCTTCCAGTTAGCCTCCGTTACCATCAGAGCTGCTGTGAGCTGCGTGTTGATGATGATCAGGGTTTAAATCACCTTAAAGTACATTGGTTTTTAAACATGTACAAGTTAAGTGCCTTTTAATACATTTTTAACAAGCTCTCTATAAATACAATTTATTATTATTATAATACTTTTACCAATATCATATAAATACACTGTATTATTAATATTATTATATTACTTTGACTGATATTAGGTACTTTGAGCTGTACTAATGTACATTATATTACAATAAATGAAGATACAGAAGAAAAATGTTCATAGTACAATGTTGTTACTATTAAAACATGTAAATAAACATGTTAGTTAAGTGCCTTTTAGTACCTTTTTTATGAGCTCTCTATAAATAAAATGTGTTCTACTACTTTTACCAATATTAAGTAAGTATACATAGCCGTCTGAACTGGACTGTTGTACATAATATTACAATGAATGAACACATTTTGTAATTAAAAGAAGATATGGGTTATACATTGAGCTACCTAAAGAGGACAGCTTATAGGTATTTTTCTAAATATCTAAAAGGTTGCTGAACAATATACCGGTAAACAGAAACTATTTGCAAATCTGCACACATTATATAATTCTTCTCTTGTTTTTGCTGTGGACGTCCAAATAGTTTAGTTTTCCACTATCCATTTTTGTTTAATAAATCTTGTATTTTTTCTTCGACATTTGACCTAGGTGTTTTGTAACACTCCATAATCTGCTCTCCCCTCAGAGACCCATCCTGCTCCAGGGCCACGAGAGGTCCATCACTCAGATAAAGTACAACAGAGAAGGAGACCTGCTCTTCTCTGTCGCTAAAGACACAGTAAGATGATAGTCCATGAAATATGTTACGCCATGATATTATTACACCTTCTCGTTTGGTTTGGTAAAGTCCATTGTGCTGTGTCGCTGTAGGTCACCAACGTTTGGTACTCTGTGAACGGAGAGCGGCTCGGCACCTACAATGGACACACAGGAGCCGTGTGGTGTGTGGACTGTGACTGTATCCTTTCCCAAGAACTACACGTGTTTAATCTCAAACTAATATATGTTGGGTTTGCATTTATCTGATGCTTTGTGAGGCATACATGTTACAGAACCAAGGCTTGACCCAATGGTAACCTTGTACAACTTGCATTGATGTACCTAAGGACATACAGTGTATATATGTATTGATTTATACTATATTTGTATTTTGTTTCACCTGAATGTCCCTATGGAGATGAATACAGGTTTATCCTATCTTATGTTGGGTTCCTTAACCTCTCTTCTCTCAGGGGACACTAAGAATGTTTTGACAGGATCAGCCGACAACAGCTGTCGACTGTGGGACTGTCAGACCGGTGAGTGAGAGAAGCTGCGGTGAAACAAAGTGTTTATTAATTCTGCTATCCGTCAGTTATGAGACTTTTCTTTGCATAGCCTCCAGTAGTTTGAGTTTGTTGATCCTCACACCCCCCCCCCCCATGTGTCTCTCAGGTAAACAGCTGGCTCTGCTGGAAACCAACTCAGCTGTCAGGACGTGTGGCTTCGACTACAGCGGGAACATCATCATGTTCTCCACAGACAAGCAGATGGGATACCAGTGCTTCCTGAACTTCTTCGACCTGAGGGACCCTCAGCAGATTGGTACGTGCACATGTGTCTGTTACTGCCACCTTTATTAGTTTATCAGGAAGTCGGTGACTTTAAGATGTGGCTGCTAGACTTAGGGAACATGGCAGCTGCATTTAGTCATACTGCATACTGTGGACTTTCGCACCTTCCTAGGGCTGCTCAATTCATCGTATTTTAATCACAATTACGATTATGGCTTGCAACGATTACGAAAACAACATAATCGAAATAAAACGATTATTTTTTTATTGGTTTTTCAGTTGAATTATATTTAAAGGTAGGGTAGGTACGTTTGAGAAACCGGCTCGAGATCGCAAGAATTTGAAAATACACAACCAGAGAAAATCTGCCACTTCCTCACAGAGCCCCTCCTCCAACACACACGAACGCGCACATGACCAATGAGGGCACGAGATAAGTTTGTGCACAGATGGAAGGCTGACAGGCAGGTAGGCCATCCAGTTATTTTAGCCGGGCCGGCTCAGATGATTGGTCGTGCTTTTTACAGTACTACAGCTTCCACAGATGATATTTATTTATGGATTTGTTGTCAAAGCTCTTCAGATATTCATTGCTATCTGGATGTTAAGAGCATTCCATGGAATATAACAACAAGTGTATCTCGAGCCGGTTTCTCAAACTTACCTACCCCACCTTTAAAGTTCAGGGTAATCAACTGTTAAAAACATACTGTTCACATTTTCTTTCTCCAATAAATTGATGTTTTTTTCAAAGTAAATGGGTAATCGTTTTTAATAATCGTGATATCAATTATTGACCCAAATAATCGAGATTATGATTTTTGCCATAATCGAGCAGCCCTACACCTTCCTATAACTATTGACTATAACAAATATTCCTTCTCTCGTTATTTGTTCCTGGTACACACACAATGATGTTTCTTCTGTGCAAATATTGAATTTATTATGAAACATGATGTGGCTCAACAACAACATGAGGAAGTAACGGCATAAATAGTCATTTATAGAATGAGATTTGGGTACGGAGGAAAAGAGAGGGTTTTATTTTCTAACGCTGCGTGAGTTCCCTGACGCACCGGGGACACATCTTTATGTATACAAGACATCACAAAGTGCATTTTGCATGATAGGTCCCCTTTAACTGAACAGCTTCTGAGCCATCTGGTGTATTTATCTTCTGAGGGAGAGTGTATTGATCAGCTTCAACGGTGCCCAGTGGTATAATAATGCTAATAATAATAATTTGTGCAGAGGACAACCAGCCCTACCAGTCGATACCGTGCAACGACCATAAGATCACCAGCGCTGCGTGGGGGCCTCTGGGAGAGTTCGTCATCGCAGGACATGAGAACGGAGAGTTCAACCAGTTCAGCGCCAAGGTGGGGAAACACACTTTACTGTGGCGTACGCTGCAGGGCAATAACAACTATAGTGTTTTGGTTTTTCAGAAAGCAAATGTCTTCATATGTTAAAGGGCGTAAGGATATAATAATATATGTGATTTATATAGCGCTTTTCCTGGTGCTCAAAGCTTGGCTGAAATTTGCACCTTTTTTTTATTCACGATCTTAAATGTTCGTTGGTGTTTGTGTTCAGGATGGAGAGATCCTGAAGAAGGTCAAGGAGCACACCAAGCAGATCAACGACCTCCAGACGTCAGTGGACCTCACCATGTTCATCAGCGCCTCCAAGGACAACACCGCCAAGGTACCGCACTGTTCACTGAGCTGCGTCACACGCTCTCAGAGACTCAGGGAACATAACGCTGTGTCAGACTTTGCTGTTGAACGCTTGGTGTCATCTTTGTTTCCTCTCAGCTGTTTGACTCCGCTACTATGGATCACATCAAGACCTTTAAGACGGAGAGACCCGTCAACTCTGCTGCCATCTCCCCCATCATGGATCATGTAAGTTATGCTAGATAACAAGAAGATGCAGAGGTAGTGGTGATGGTGCTTTTTTAGTTTTCTTTTAGACATACAGCTTAAATCTTCTGAAATGTGATTCCATTAATGATGCAAGCTTTCTTTTTGCAGTAAATTGTGCAAAAGCCTGTGAGACACTAGTGGCTCAATTAACAAACCCTACAATTATTTTAATCACTTTGTTATATTGCCTATTAATCATCCAACAGTTGGATTTGGTGCTGTGATGTTGTCGGCCCAGGATGCTGATGGCCTGAAAGACAAACTGGTTTAAAGGGGACCTATCATGCACAATGCACTTTGTGATGTCTTTTATACATAAAGATGTGTCCCCGGTGTGTCCCCGGTGCGTCCCCGGTGCGTCCCCGGTGTGTCCCCGGTGTGTCCCCGGTGTGTCCCCCCGGTGCGTCCCCGGTGCGTCCCCGGTGTGCGTCCCCGGTGCGTCCCCGGTGCGTCCCCGGTGCGTCCCCGGTGCGTCCCCGGTGTGTCCCCCCGGTGCGTCCCCGGTGCGTCCCCGGTGCGTCCCCGGTGTGTCCCCCCGGTGCGTCCCCGGTGCGTCCCCGGTGCGTCCCCGGTGCGTCCCCGGTGCGTCCCCGGTGCGTCCCCGGTGTGTCCCCCCGGTGCGTCCCCGGTGTGTCCCCCCGGTGCGTCCCCGGTGCGTCCCCGGTGCGTCCCCGGTGCGTCCCCGGTGTGTCCCCCCGGTGCGTCCCCGGTGCGTCCCCGGTGCGTCCCCGGTGCGTCCCCGGTGCGTCCCCGGTGCGTCCCCGGTGTGTCCCCCCGGTGCGTCCCGGTGTGTCCCCCCGGTGCGTCCCCGGTGCGTCCCCGGTGCGTCCCCGGTGCGTCCCCGGTGCGTCCCCGGTGTGTCCCCGGTGCGTCCCCGGTGTGTCCCCGGTGTGTCAGGGAACTCACGCAGCGTCAGAAAATAAAACCCTCTCTCTTTTCCTCCGTACCCAAATCTCTAAAAACGGGGGAACAACGGAGCTGATCCAGATTAGCGTCCGATATGACGTAATATCTGAAATGTGGACCCACGGGCCTATCAGAAACGTTGCTATCAGAAACAATGCCCGACTGTTTTGGACGTAATATGGTCGGTGTTTACATTAGCATCGCTAACACTCAGAGCTAACCTGTACTGGAGAGCATGTGTGTGAAGAAGCAGGAAATAGAAAGGAACTCACCTGGTAGGGCTGTGCAATTAATCGTTTTTTAATCGCAATTACGATTTTGGCCGGCCACAATTACAAAAACAACATAATCGAAAAAAACGATTATTTAGCTTTGCTAGGTTGTGACCGTGCAACATATTTGATCTAATTTATTTGATAGTCTAATTTATTTATCATATTTATATATGTTTAGTAGCTTGGGGAAGTGCGCTCCAAAATATTTGTTGATCTTTTTTATTGGTATTTATTATTTTGATATCATTTATTTTATTTATTGGTTTTTCAGTTGAATTATACGTTCAGGGAAATCAACAGTTAAAAAGATACTGTTCAAATTATTATTTGTATTTGTTTTAAAGTTCAATAAATTGACGTTTTCAAAGTCAATGAATAATTGTGATATCAATTATTGACCAAAATAATCGTGATCGTGATTTTTGCCATAATCGCACAGCCCTACCTTGTGGTATAACCGGCAAGAGAGAAAGCCTTTGAGCTCCAGACTGTTTCAGAGAGAATCCTTGATCATCCATGATATGGCGTTTCATCACGGCAGCATTTAGTTTAGACAGTAGCTGCCGGGTCCCGCATGAGCTCAGACCTCTACTTTTTAAAGCTTTATACCCAAATCAGCACTTTTGAAACAGGAAGTGAAACAGAGGGATATGAGGCATGGCTAGAATGGATGATCTGTTTGGTATTTTGAGCAAAACACTTCATAGATGTGTTTTGTATATATTTGTATATATCTGAGACCTATGCTATTGCCTAAAAATAGCATGATGGGTCCACTTTAAGCTTTCTACAGATGACCGGCAAAAACGACCCAACCCCTGACTTTGACCATGTTCACGAGAAAAGAAAGTCACTAACTGTTAACACGGCATGGTGCGTTTGATTCAGGTGGTGATGGGAGGTGGACAGGAGGCCATGGAGGTCACCACGACCTCCACCAGGATCGGAAAGTTTGAGGCCAGGTGAGTTAAAGAATGCCCCAAATTAAAAGTAAAATGCGTAACGTTTTGGCATTAACATGTCTAAAGATGACCAGACTATTAAAGCATTTGTAGTCATTATCAAACGTAGAGAAATCTGCTATTTTAAACAAGGTACGCTGTCTAACATGAACTAACATTTTATTCAGATCGATTCTCCAACCCTTTCTTCCCTCTCCCCCTCAGGTTCTTCCATGCTTGCTATGAAGAGGAGTTCGGCAGGGTCAAAGGTCATTTCGGACCCATTAACTGTGTGGCGTTCCACCCTGATGGAAAGAGGTAAGAACCACCCACTGACTTCTACATCAACATGTGTCCCCTCTTCTTCATGTCTCTTCTACATCAACATGTGTCCCCTCTTCTTCATGTCTCTTCTTCATCAACATGTGTCCCCTCTTCTTCATGTCTCTTCTACATCAACATGTGTCCCCTCTTCTTCATGTCTCTTCTTCATCAACATGTGTCCCCCTTCATCAACATGTGTCCCCTCTTCTTCATGTCTCTTCTACATCAAACATGTGTCCCCTCTTCTTCATGTCTCTTCTACATCAACATGTGTCCCCTCTTCTTCATGTCTCTTCTACATCAACATGTGTCCCCTCTTCTTCATGTCTCTTCTTCATCAACATGTGTCCCCTCTTCTTCATGTCTCTTCTTCATCAACATGTGTCCCCTCTTCTTCATGTCTCTTCTTCATCAACATGTGTCCCCTCTTCTTCATGTCTCTTCTACATCAACATGTGTCCCCTCTTCTTCATGTCTCTTCTACATCAACATGTGTCCCCTCTTCTTCATGTCTCTTCTTCATCAACATGTGTCCCCTCTGTGTAAAGAGACTCTAAAGTTTCAGGAACAAAGATTCTCTCTCTTTTTGATCCATTTCTATAAAAACCTGTCTGAAAATGAGCCGATCAGATTTTGTATATATCTGAGACCTATATTAAAGTAATGAAAAACAGTATACTAAGGGACCTTTAAAGGTTGTGTATCCGTCATTGCTCACTGTCCTCCTGCTCACGGTCCTCCTGCTCTCTGTTCACAGCTACGCCAGTGGAGGAGAGGACGGCTACACGAGGATTCATTGCTTTGACCCACAGTACTTTGACTTTGAGCTGGAGGCCTAAACAGACGACCACAGCTAACAGGAAGGAGCATCACAGCTAACAGGAAGGAGCATCACAGCCAAACACCTCGCCCTCAGTCAGATGTCTGAGAGGCTTCTTGGTGTTTTTTAAGTCATTTTCTAACATCAATTGGGGTCTGTTTAGTGGGATCCAAAGTCCTTTCTTTAAACCCTGGATCTGCAGAGTTATCCGGACTGACTGGACTTCAAAACCCACACTCCCTGATTCCCAACTCTATTTAATCTGATTCTGCATTCTCTCGTTTCTGTTGTAAGCCATTCAACAAGTCACCATAAAATTACTGATATCAAGTTGTGTCTGTGTGATTTATGCAGCAATGTGTTATTCTTTCACATAGAAACACCCTATATGATCTAGTCCAATCTGTTACCTGTTAATAGCTTACTATAATAAGAATGATATATAGCTTGGATGCAAACATTTACCGAATTGGGATCAAGTACTTACTTTTTTGAATTACCCTATACTATTACTCGTTACCGACATACCTTAGTATTTACGTCTGAACTAGTATACATTATTTAAAGTATCAGGCAAGTAATAAGTATAGTATGTGGCAGGAAAGGTCATAGTGTATATAACATGTCAAAAATATATATTTTTAAGTCATATTTTAGTGTGTCTGAAAAAACTCAGAATGTTATGGAAATATATACAAATATTTTGTATGCATCATAACCTCTTTGGTCTGCGGTCATTAGTTATCAACCTAATGTTAATAAGTTCAGTTATAACTAGACCTCGTAAACTCTACTTAAGCGGTTTAAAACTTCACTTTCTTTCCCTCTCAGCTGTTATCTGCTGGTGTCCTGAAAAGTAGTTTAAGGTCTTTATTCCCAGAGCTTAAAGGTAGGGTAGGTACGTTTGGAGAAACCGGCTCGAGTGCGCTAGAATTTGAAAGTACGCAGACAGAAAAAAAATCTGCCCCTTCCTTCAGACTTCCTTACAGAGCCCCTCCAACACACACGAACGCGCACATGACCAATGAGGGCACGAGATAAGTTTGTGCACAGATGGAAGGCTGACAGGCAGGTAGGCCATCCAGTTACTTTAGCCAGGCCGGCTCAGATGATTGGTCGTGCTTTTTACAGTATTACGGCTTCCACTGATGATATTTATTTATTTTTTGTCAAAGCACTTCAGATATTCATTGCTATCAGGATGTTAAGAGCATTCCATGGAATATAACAAGTGTTTCTGAAGTGAATTACCTACCCCACCTTTAAGGGACATATTTAAAGAAGGTCTTAAGTATATTATGCTGAGAAAAAGTAAAGTATGTTGAAAAATCATAGTATGTAAACATTTCATAAAAACATGGACATGAAAGTATCTGAAACAAAAAACTAAATTGTAAATGATTTGGTCTTATAAGGGTGTGTATATTAACCAGAACAAGAACAATTGATCAGTTTCTTATTATTTTTATTACAAAGTGATGATAATGCACATTTCACAAGGATAAAACTCAGCCCCCCCCCTCCTCATGTCTGATGGTACAAAATATCTAAAACGAGTCGTTCGCTTGCAAACTAATCCTGTGGCCAGCTTCACAACCACTCTCACTTCAACACAGGGAGACAGAACACATGAGCAGATATTCATAGGTAGATGGGATCACTTTTTCTTATGATTTCAAATAAGTTACTAAGCAGAGATTGGGCCTGTCGGGACAAAGAGAGCGGCGTGGACATGCTAAAAGGCAGGCTCATTTTAAACATGCATCCATTGAGAAAGGTGGACTAAATGCTGGTTATTCTAACAGCATCAAAAATGGGTATTTAAAAATAACTGAAAAGCCTTTTTTTGCATGTAGGAATCATTACATCTCTGCAGGTGTTTGAACCAGCCCACAGTTTAAATCTGCAACACCATGATAGGAACAGGAATACGTTGAAGCAGCCCTGGTTTCACACAACAGCGGGGAAAAGGGAGGAATTGTGGCGTTTGTTTTACACTATGCTACGCTCCAGGTGGGTGGGGCTTACACCCTGCTTAAATAGTTTTGTTGTGCAATGCCCACTCAGCTGAGCTTGGAAACAATTGTGAGTGATACAGTGTAAAGCAGGTCAGAACTCAGTTAAACAGGAATATAAAAAGGGGTCGCTGCAGCGGGAGGACAGAGGAATGGGTTTCCACCAAACACTTCTCCTCAGACTTCAAGTTGTCTTCACTTCTTCTTTTGGTCTGAAATGCAACAAATTGAAGAGTTTAAGAGACAAACTATCACACACACACACACACACACACACACACACACACACACACACACACACACACACACACTTCAGTCTAGGTAACTCCTACACTGGTTCTGATCATGAGGGTTTCACAGGATGCACATTGATGACTATTCCTACTGTACAAATAGAACTTATATCATGTTCAGGGTTCTTACACCTTTTCCAAAGTCAAATTCAAGCACTTTTCAAGCATTTTCAAGGTGCATTTTCAAGCATCTTACAGCTGTTGTAAATTACATATTTATATACACATACTTCTACTCAAATGATTATTTCCCTACCTCACATTAAATCAGATGTTCTTTATGCTATAAACAACCAAATGTGTTTCATAATAGCATTCTACATGAGGATGAACAATTAAAAATGTTAGAAAAGAAAACTAAGTTTAATATTTCAAAATGAGTGACCTATCTGTACGTAGATTTTACTGGTAACTCTCTTACCCCGAGGTGTCCATCTTCTCTTCCTCCTTCTCCTCCTCTTTCACTTCTAAGAGGCAGAAAACACGTGTCATGAACACAGTATGTTTTATCTAGAACCATCCAACAGCTTGTGGACGAGTAATACATAACATATTCATAATATAATAATAACACGACACTTAGATGGTGCTTTCCTAAAACTCAAAGACACTTTGACAGAGAATAAAACAAACAGAAAAGAGAGGGGGGGGGGGTGTCAGAGGTTGAATGCCGTTTTGAACCATGGATGTATAATAAGAAGTGGATACAGCGTGGGAGGCGGGCCTTCGTTCATTCCTATGAGAGCTGCTCATTGGCTCATGATGATAAAATGGCCCAACTTTTGAGAGAGCGAAACGTCACGAAAGTATTCCTATAATCATATAATCCGTTCTTATTGTGCGTCCATGGGTTAAGGTAAAACTCATGTAGTACTGAACACGTCACATGAACGTGCCGGGCGGCGCGGTCCCGTGGGTTAGATGCGCGTTCATAATGCAGAGGGAAATAACTCTCAGAATAACGTTATTAGCACATTTTTCAACTTGAGGACCGAATGTTTTTAATAAGGGCTATACAAGTGTTCATACTGGGTAGTTTATTTAGTTTAAAAAAAGTTATTTACAGACGTCTCTTTCCCCATGTTAGTCCATGGGAAAAAGTGTTTCCGGGCACAGCGACTGACACGGAAGTGTAGTACCGCCGTTTGGCCACAACTAGTATTTTCCTCAGAGTCCGGCGCACTTCCTGGGGGCTCGTGTTGAACAGGTGGGTTTTGAGGACTTGGGTCTTACCTTTCTTCTCCTCTGCGTCCTTCTCCTCCTCCTTCTTCACTCGCTTCACCTTCTTGTGATTGGCTGCGTTCCTGCGGCCCCCCCCCCGGCCCCTCCGCCTCGTCCTCAGAGTCGGAGAACTCCTCCTCGCAGGCGATCCTCTTGTCGTGGGCCCGGACTGAAACACAGAGACACTTCATTAGAATTCTTTGAGGTCAATATTGCGTGTCTTACACTTAGCCACAACGCAGACTCTATGCATTTCATTCATATAATAATAATAATACATTTCATTCATATAGCACACTTTCAAAACAACGTCATCTCAAGCTGCTTCAATGCTATAAGGAGAAAATACAACACAAAGTTATCTAATAGCATATTGAATAGAATATGGTAATATATAAAACATTAATGCACACAACGTTGATAATTTACTGCACATATTTTATACTTTATTCCATTTCAATGTAAATACTGCTTTATTTTAACTATATTTTGTTAATGTTATTATTTTAGTGTTCTTAAAATAGTTCTCTATCTGTCTTTACCTTGATGTATGCACCACGACATCAAGTCAAATTCCCCGTACGTGTCAGAGAGCTGGTGATAAACCTGTTTCTGATTACATCTATGTCTGAGACAATTCCCTTTAATCTCGCTTTAGAATAAAATATTCTAAGCCTCGTGCAAACCAACATGAGGAAATGACCCTGTCCACATGTTACTCCAGACATTAGGCGCTTTCACACTTTGCTGTACTTAGTTCCTGAACTAAGAGCAGATCGCGTTCACACCGGAATAAGTCCCTGAGGGAAGATTACGCAAATGAAGCCGCTGACGTCACTTCTTCTTCTTCTGCTTTGGGTTTACTGGCAGGCCGCAAACAACTTCACGGAGTATACTGCCACCCGGAGTCCCCGGCCGGAAGTCCCCGGAGTTGGGGAAGGCTTCAGTAGAAGCTGCTGGGACTCCCAGCAGCTTCTACTGAAGCCTTCAGAGTAAATCTCCAGAACGCCGACACCTCCTCATCTCCACCGCTCCCATGTTTTATTTTGTGTTGCCATAAGTTAGTCTCTCCGCGTTTGTGCGCTGGGCTAATGCTAATGCTAATAATGCTAATGCCAGCAAATAAAATGGCGGCTTCACAAAACCTTTCCGAGTTTTACGGAGTGTGGTTTGCAATTCGCCCAGCCAATCAGAAATGTGAACCTTTTCCCCCCTTTTCATCCCTGCTAGAGAGCAGGGATGAAAAGGGGGGAAAAGGTTCACAAAAAAAAGTTCTAGTTCCAGATCTTTTTGGTGTGAACGCAAAATCCATCGAACTATCGGAACTATTCCTGGGAAAAGTGCCTCTTGTACAGTAAAGGTGTTATACGCTTGAGCCATCCTCAGAGCAACAGAACGCTCTCATTTACATTGACCATTAAAGAATTTGGCTTATAGCTTTTTTTTGGAAAAACAGGTGAAATCTGTAACCTAAGTGATCAGGGTTCGCTTTGCATTAGATTGTTTGTAAACTCTACGCCTGAAGAAGTCTCTTACTGGAGACGCGTTTCTCGGGGTCCTCCCCCTCCTCCTCGTCCCCGCTGTCTGGGTGAGGGGCGTCCTCGGGGATCGCCTGCATCTGGACCCCGGGGGCGTGGGGCAGCATGCGCAGGTTCTCAAACAGCCGCTGCTTGATCTTCTCCAGGTACTCCGTGGTGTTCTGGTTGGTCATGTTGGACGGGCTGATGTGCAGCTTGAAGTCCGGCCCGAAGTACTCAAAGTAGTCGTTGTAGGGCAGCTCGTTGGGGATGGAGCAGTCGAGGGCGGTGGCCGTCTCGAACGTCCAGCAGCGCGCCACGTTACGGATGGTGTAGCCCCCCCCCCCCAGCATCAGCAGGGGGAGGTTGAAACTCTTGATGTACTCCACACATTTGGCGTGGCCTGGAAGAAAACACACACAATCAATTATCATTATATAATGTATGAAATGCTTATGACATCATATTTAAGTGACTGTCTCATTTCATCAACCTGCAAGGACTCTAAAGCCACATTTCCACTACAGGGTTTGACCGCGCCTAGGCTCGCTCTTTTGTGCTTGTCCACTAGGGGTAGTACCGGCTATCTGGTACTTTTTTAGAACCACCTCAGTCGAGGTTCCAAGCAGGCTGAAAATATGCTTAGCTAGTGACGTAAAACACTGCCGGCCGGCTTCACGAGGACTTTCCAGCAGTTTGGAGAAAAACAAAAAAAACTGAAGAGTGATTATTGATCCATCAAGGACCACAACGGGCGGAGTGGTTCCAGGAGGAAAACACGCCGACACTGCGTGGTTACTGTTGGGGAATAATGTGCCCTGCCTGTCCTCCTTCGCCCTCTGACGCAGCTGACCGGCAAATTACGGCCCCGCCCACTTTGGGGGGAAAACAGAGCTGTCATTTGAATGGCGATCAATACAAATTCTGAGGTTTTTGCCAATCCGATCAGAAATTTAAGAAAACCGTGGATTTGTGGATCTTCAACGAGCCCGGTTACGATGGCCAGTCAGGCAAACATTACATTAAATCATTTGAAATCATCGATATATGGTTAAATTAAAATCAGTCGGCGAGGCTGTAATTTTCGCCGGCTGTTACTCTCATGAGCGAGGTGGAAAATAATAGTTGTATCACGCCAACAAGCTGCTGTGTCGTTTATTGCTCCTCAAACATTAAAACAAATCCAGAGTTCAGTGTTTCTGAACTTCCTCTAAGAAGAAAGGACAAAGAAGAGCTCTGTGGCTTCAGGCTTCATCGCCATTCAAATGACAGCGTTGTTTCCCCCAAAAGTGGGCGGGGCCGTAAAGTGACGTAGGTGTTACTCTCATCTGTGGACATCGATCGCCTACTGCTATGTTTAACCATATATCGAGCACGATCGTCGATTTCAAATGATGTAATGTAATGTCTGGTCATCGTAATCGGGCTCTTTGAAGATCCTAAAATCCACGGTTTTCTTAAATGTCTGATCGGATTGGCAAAAACTTCAGAATTTGTATTGACCGCCGTTCAGATGACAGCTTTGTTTCCCCAAAAGTGGGCGGAGCCGTCCTTTTTGCCCCGAAGTGACGCATGTGTTACTCTCATGTATACTCTGTAAAGCACTTTGGGCTGCGTCAAGCATGAAAGGGGCTTTATAAATAACTTTCATTTATTATTTATTTATGAGTAATTTCCTGGAAGAGATAACTGTCCATACTGAGGTTGTGGAAATAAATCACTAATTCTGATTATTTGTACTGATATTGCGATAGTGATATGATTTGCTTTATTAGAGGGAATATCAATTTGTCAAATGTTATTCACACATTTGTTGAAAAATATAATAAAATAAGGATCTGTACCAAACAAACATTTTTAGTCTGTAGAATACCGCTTATAGGTCAGGACTTCTCTGCAGCAAAATAATACCTTTGATGGTGAGTGATATTTTTATATTGTGCTTCCTGCAATTTGGATAATTCACTCGTCCATATTGTGATTTTGATAACATGTGGATTAATGTGCAGCTCTTAATGATACCTTTGATGGTGAGGTTGAAGCAGCCCAGCCTGTCTCCAGAGAGAGAGTCCGCTCCACACTGCAGAACAACAGCACTCGGCTGGTACATCTCCATCACTTTAGCCATGATCTAACACACACACACACACACACACACACACACACACACACACACACACACACACACACACACACACACACACACACACACACACACACACACACACACACACACACACACACACACACACACACACACACACACACACACACACACACACACACACACACACACACACACACACACACACACACACACACACACACACACACACACACACACACACACACACACACACACACACACACACACACACACACACACACACACACACACACACACACACACACAGAACAGGGTTCATACACTTTTTCATCAATGAAGTTCAATGACTTCTCCATGACCTTTACCTAATTTTCCATGACCAAATAAATGACTCTTTCTCAGCGGTTCCACTGAAAATGGTTTATTTTAACATGGAACAGGAAAATAAGGTCTGCATATGAAACATGTCTAAAACATATCAAATAGGCTTACTAGCTTCTACACGCTAAAGCAACTCAAATCTCTCACCAGCAAAACACCTCGTCAGTTAAATGCCATTTTACGTTTCATTACTATACGATACAGTATTTATTATCATTATAGTATTACTATTTTGGCGATTAGATAAAATATAAATTATATTTGAACTTTAGTTAAATTTCCATGACTTTTCCAAAACTTTGGGAAAAATATTTTTTTTCCATGGCCTGGAATTAGCATTTTGAATTTCCATGACTTTTCCAGGTTTTTAATGACCGTAAGAACCCTGAGAGAAGGAGTGATTGCTAATGTAGCATCTGAATAAAACCACTTACAGGTCTGAAGATGGCTTCATACGACTCGTCGTCAATACCGTCTCTGAGCGGGTAGTTTACGGCGTAATACTTTCCCTTTCCAGCTCCGATGTCCTGTGGAGATATCATTTCATTACTTTGTGAAAAGATCCACAGATTCACTTCAAGGCTTTAGCTACAGTATAGTTATGACAATGAACATCTGAGGTCACAGGCTCCTCCAACAGTGCAACAACAATAACATGGTGATCTTAAAAGTATGACTAGAACAAGAGAACTCACCCTCAGGTCTCCAGTGCCGGGGAAGTACTCTCCATACTTGTGGAAAGAGACAGTCATGACCCTGTCTGTGGTGTAGAAGGCCTCCTCCACCCCATCGCCGTGATGGATGTCGATGTCTATATACAACACCCTCTGGTGGTACCTGGGGAAGAAGACCATTGAGTTAAACACACCCTAAGAGGCATTCAAATCCAATATATATATATATCAGGGTAGATGACAGGCAGCTGGTTCAAGAGGATGATGCCTTAAGGTTCATTTTGTCTAGAAAGTTATTCCACAAACGTTGAGTCTGCTTATTTTTTTTAAACCATGCATTACAATGGATATCTTAGTTTTCCCGATTTTAATATCCACTCTTCCAAACAACCTTTGAAAGTGGTCTAAAAACTTAATTTGGCAATGTCAGCAGAACACTTTTTAAAACCAAAAAATGCCAATGCAATCAAACAGGCCAAAAGCTCAGGTAAAAACTTGACCACCAGTTGTATAGATATTGATTAATTGGGAGTAAGCCTAAAAAGTCACGTATTGTCATATCAGATGTGAAGAAAGCCAGGATATGTGGATTAGTGACCTTCACTAGCACTTTTAAATTCGACAAGCAGGTCAGCACCGTAGTCAAATCCTGGGTTGCGTTCGAATACTCCAAAAAAACAGCTCCTAAGTTCTAACCCTATCGTCTAGTCCTTGACCTCTGAGTGAAAGGTCACGGGGTTAAGGGATAGTGGATAGGAGAATTCAAAAGGACTTAGGAGAAGAGACTGCGGCACTTTAGAGAATCCGACTGCACTTCCACTATCCGATGTATTTATGATGCGCCAGCAGAGGTCATAAATGTGCGCCTGCTGCTGTGGGGAAACTATGGAAACTACAGTTTTCTATACAGCGGACTACAACATGGATGTTTAATAAGAACAAGGGACTACTGTAAACTCATCTAGAGACTCTGCACCGTGCTCTGATGCTGTTATGCTTTATGAACGGGGACAACAGAGAAACATATTCTTCATGACCAAAGATGGAATTGAAATAAAAAAGGAAAGTGAAACTTATGCTCGTCACCCTCTCCCTCCGGTCCACATTAATACAAATGATCCCAATACGTATGATTGTATGAAAAGATCTTAAAATCAATACAAATGTATTTATTATAAACGTTAGTCCTTAACATCTATCACTGTGTATATCACCATTCAAACATCTTTTAAAAGTTGAACAAACCCCACACAGCTCAGTAAAGACTGTGAAATGTTGACTTTATTTGATCATTTCAGTAAAAACTAACGTTCATATTTCTCTTTTTGATTATAATACTGATGAACGTTCAAAACAAAGCACTTTGGCAACTTACCACATACGTTTTAAAATGCTTAATAAGCACCGTAACTTTCATGATATCATTTCTCGTTCATAATCGGTTGTTTCCGTGAACGGCCGACTGTTGTGTGACGGCAAATGCCGCGGCCGCAAGGCATTGTGGGGCAGCATGTTCTCCTCTCCTTTCGGTTAGGGAGGTCCAGTGGTTCCTAGGCTAAAGGAGGTTATAAAGGAAGTTTGAAACCTCCTTTCCTTTTAATTTAGAGAATTCGAACGGCACTTATCATGGCTGCCACTGAGGGACTTCCGGGTCATTTCACTCCGTTAGGAAGGTTCCTAAGCTAAATGGACTATTCGACTGCAACCCTGCTTTTTTTAAATAAGACTATTGGCCAAAACCAAGTCGTATTTATCTTTTAATGACTTAGAAAGGGTTATTAACGCCTTTGTTACCTCGAGACTGGACTATTGCAACGCTCTGTATGTGGGTATGGACCAGGCCTCAATCAAACGCCTGCAGCTAGTCCAGAACGCAGCTGCACGTTTGCTGACTGGTCACAAAAAGCGTGACCACATCACCCCTATTCTGGCCTCACTGCACTGGCTTCCAGTTCGGTTCAGAATTGATTTTAAACTCCTTTTATTTGTTTTTAAAGCCCTAAATGGGCTGGCTCCGGCCTATATAGCTGAACTCCTCCAGTGCTACACCCCAGCCAGAGCTTTAAGGTCTGCTGACCAGCTGCTGCTGGTAGTGCCCAAGACCAGGCTCAAAACCAGAGGGCACCGAGCCTTCTCAGCAGCTGGCCCTAGGCTCTGGAACACTCTGCCCCTCCATGTGAGGTCGGCCCAGACCCTAGGGGGTTTTAAATCAAAACTAAAAACACACTTCTTCTCTCTGGCTTTCTAGTCAGAGCGGAGCACGACTACTGACTTTTCCCTGTGTTTTTATTTATATATCTGTTGTAATTTATTGTCTTTTATTGTGATTGTAGTAATGTGTTTTTATTACATGTACAGCACTTTGGCTCGACCAAAAATCACTTTTAAATGTGCTTTATAAATAAACTTGATTTGATTTAAAGTGTAATTAAAGCAGCAGCTTACTTGAGCAGCTCGAGGATGGCCAGCACGATGTCGTTGACGTAGCAGAAACCAGACGCCTCAGACTTCTTGGCGTGATGGAGACCTCCCGCCCAGTTGATGGCGATGTCCGTCTGCTGCTTGTTCAGCTTCAACGCTCCAGCTAGAGGACAGAATGATACATACACTTTGTTCATATAGCACTAATCTTAACAAAGTGCAAACAGCAAATCTTAACAAAAACATAAATACACCAGAGGATAATGTCATGTTAAAATATATAAAGTGTTAATAAAACCCAGCATGATCTTACATTTATCAATCCTAGATAGATATTAACAGTTTAAATCATGTTAGACAGGGCTATACTCCCAGTGACGACTAACACAGGTGGTTATAATATACCTGTAACCTCAGTCCAAGAAATTATAGTCAATAAATGAATAATCCTAATTTAAGAGGACTTTCCAAAACCACGTTTAAGGGCAGGATTAACAAAACTTGATTAACGTCAGGTTTACTCCTTGCACCGTCATTAATGTGCCTCCTGTATGAGGCTGGTGCTCCAGGGGGATTGTGGGAGTTATGGTTGGAAAACGTACCGACAGATCCACCCGCCGAGAGCTGGCAGAACTCAAACAGGCCATCGAACACCGGACAGTCCTCTCCGACATTGACTGCGAGAAAAAAAAAGACGAATAGATTATCACATGTGGACAGAAGGAGCGCTTCAGTGTCCAATGGATGAAATAACAAACTCTCACATCTCTGCATCTGCTTGCTGTACTCAGACATGTTGTCTGGCCGGATGGACCTCAGGAACTTAATGTAGTCGTCACTGTGGTATTTGGTCATCTCCTCGCCACTGGCTTTGTGTGGCCTCTGGAAACACACAGGAACATGATCATCAGTCGTCATTGGATTGGATTTTGACATGTTATATGTACAGTCTTTGATGAGCAGGTCTCTATGTATCGAGTTTGGATATGTATTGTGTTGTAAATATATTACTGTGTATTTGTATTATTGCCTAATAAATTGCTGATGCTGTAACAAGAAAGTACATCTATCTATCCATCTATCTACTTACATCTAAACTGTCTTTAAGTAAACAAACGTCAATATTTGATTGCAAACCAAGCATTGAAAATACCCACTTCAGAGTAAAAAACATCAGTAATAATTACACATTTCAGAGTCAGAACCAACTTCCAATCTGGTCTTGGTGAAAATCCTACTTTTGAAAAGTATGTTTCACGCTTATAAGATTCACACTAACTGAATGGTTAATGATCAATATGTGTATCATTACTCCCGCAATAGTTATAAAACAAAGTGCTACAAAATTCCCTAACACCATCGTATCCACACAACTTAAAAAATGATGGTTTAATATTCTCTGAACGAAAGATCAAATGTATGGTTGTGAGTTTGGTGGATTTGTGTGGAGTGGTATAACTCACATAGATCTCCATCTTCCTGTACAGTCCATAGTTGAGCAGCAGGTTGTGTGTCATGCGGATCCTGTGGGGTTTCATGGGATGGCCCTGCCCGTAGTAGTAGTTCCCCACATCCCCTTGGAAAGAAGAAAGCATACAGAAAATGTTATCTTCATGACAAACTACATTAAAAAACGTGCCCTTTTAACTGCAATCGTACATACTTAATTGTTCACAATTGTATAAAACAGGATGAACCAGTCCTTTATTGAATCCATCACTAAAATAAAATCTAGTTTAATTGATCAACTTGCTGAACTGTGACTATATGCTACTTAAAATATAGGTTTCTCAGCATGTGAGATCGTATTCAAGGATCAGCTGCTCAGCATGAATTATTCTTTAATTTGTATTTATCTTTAGACACAAGTAAAAATGTACAACAACCAACATTAAAACAAGTGTTTAACATAACATAAACCATCACACTTCTACTTCCAACATACAGTGTGTAGACTTGCACGTTGTTAAGAGTAGGCTACTTGTGCATAACAAAATAGTGAAATGCAATTCAACATAATAGCCCTTATTTACTAGAACAACGATCGCTAAATAACCAAACTGAACATCGGTCCTCACTTCTCGGAAGTTGGTAGCAATTTGGGAAAAAATTTGTGTCATAAGCACCGGGTAAATTAACGACTTTTCTCGTCCCAATATGACCAAGTTTTCTCACATGCAGATGTCAGACTCCAATTCAAGTTTTAAATTAAGTAAGAAAATTGTTGTGGGTATTAGAGAATTCGTAATAGAGATAAACACCGGGTCATTTCGAAGCTAGCATAGCATAGCAAGTAGCTAAATCAGGCTGTTTAATCAAAGCTAATGATAGCCTGAAGCTAACGATAGCCTGCTAGCACCGGCTAGTTAGCATTGTCGTGCCTCACATCTTTTTAAACCATGCGTTCAAACATGTTTTACGCACTTTCACGGAAACTTCAATAATACAACAAAACTGATGTTTAAATAGATATATTTACCGTCATAGTAATAGCAAACTTTTTTCTTTGTTCCTTGAGACAGCGCCATTTTACACCAATTAGCACACACTCCCACCGGTTCCTCTCTCTCTCCTCACCAGAAGGCAACTAGCGCGGAGCTCCGTCCACCAATCAGAGGCGAGCACCCGTCCGGGTGGGAGGCGCCGGTGTTACAAGCAAGCACCCCCGAGGTTGCAGCTACAACTAGACACGAGACGTCTAGACTGGGGCAGAAATGCAGGTTTTTTGTTGTAATTTGAAGTCTCCAGCAATTCATAATCCTTTTTTTCAGATTTCAAGGTTCAAGGCTTTTATTGTCATTTGTACATAGCTATAGATAGTGTAGTTATGACAATGAAATTCTTAGGTCACAGGCTCCTCCAACAGTGCAACACAATAAAACTGATAATAGTGCAAGTAAATAAAATTTGATTAAATACATGAGGATCTTCTTCTCTATGAGGAGGTCATATGTCAATGGGGTTTAGTGCCAGGCCCCTTTAATGCACTTTATGAGGACACTGAAGTATGGATATTTAAGAACTGAAGGATCATGTATTGTCACACAGAGTTGCACAACCAAATGCAGTGGTATCTTATTCCATTATGCACAGACACAATCATGATAGTGTAATGTAGTGGATTCCTGAAGTGCAAAGTCAGAATTTGCAACTAGATGAATTTAAAAAAACAATAACAATGTTTAATTATCTGAGCAGATAGTAGTGGAAACGCCCGTTTTAATTCTTTATATATTTTTATCAGCATATGTTCTAGATGTATTTAAGGTGTTTGAGAAGGACGGCCCTGATTGATCAAGACAAAAACTGTGAATGAGTGTAGGGTGAATTTAACATCATCAGTTGTCCATGGACAGATTATGGTTGGACAGAAAATGCCAAAACAAATAATAAATATATAATTTGAAAAATAAATAATAATTAATTTACCACTGAAATACTTGATGCAGACGTGTATTTTTAACATAGTTTTTGGTCCATGTAATGGCATTTTAAATCATTCATCAATTCATGTATTTATGTGTCTTTCATTCCAGCACCCTCTGTTCTGAAAGCACCCTAAAATAAAATATGATGTCATTTGCAAGCAATGATAAAATAGGTCAAGTTTTTTTGGCTTGGACATAATGTCAGACAGGGACATACACATAATGCATATCCTTGCAGAATCCTGCCCATTTTAAAACAAAGATATACAGATAATATGGATATGTAAAATGTTTATAGTGTACACAATGAGGTTGATTATGCATATGAATGCAGGCATATTGGGGAAACAGTCCGGCAGTGGCTCAGTCAGTAGCTGGGAGCTGGGAGCTGTAGGGTCTCTGGTTCAAGTCCCTGACCAGACCTAAAATATGGAGTGTGGACTGCTACTTGGAGAGGTCCCAGTTCACCTCCTGCCCTGCCGTGGTGCCCTTGAGCAAGGCACCGGACACCCCCCTTCCCCCCTCACTCCCATTGCTCCCCGGGCGCTGTACAATAGCTGCCCACTGCTCCTAGTACTAGACTCCTGGTACTAGACTCCTGGTACTAGACTCCTGGTACTAGACTCCTAGTACTAGACTCCTGGTTCTAGACTCCTAGTACTAGACTCCTGGTACTAGACTCCTAGTACTAGACTCCTGGTACTAGACTCCTGGTACTAGACTCCTGGTACTAGACTCCTGGTACTAGACTCCTAGTACTAGACTCCTAGTACTAGACTCCTAGTACTAGACTCCTGGTACTAGACTCCTGGTACTAGACTCCTGGTACTAGACTCCTGGTACTAGACTCCTAGTTCTAGACTCCTGGTACTAGACTCCTAGTACTAGACTCCTGGTACTAGACTCCTGGTGCTAGACTCCTAGTACTAGACTCCTAGTACTAGACTCCTGGTACTAGACTCCTGGTACTAGACTCCTAGTTCTAGACTCCTGGTACTAGACTCCTAGTACTAGACTCCTGGTACTAGACTGCTAGTACTAGACTCCTGGTACTAGACTCCTGGTGCTAGACTCCTGGTACTAGACTCCTGGTACTAGACTCCTGGTGCTAGACTGCTAGTACTAGACTCCTGGTACTAGACTCCTGGTGCTAGACTGCTAGTACTAGACTCCTAGTACTAGACTCCTGGTACTAGACTCCTAGTACTAGACTCCTGGTACTAGACTGCTAGTACTAGACTCCTGGTACTAGACTCCTGGTGCTAGACTCCTAGTACTAGACTCCTAGTACTAGACTCCTGGTACTAGACTCCTGGTACTAGACTCCTAGTTCTAGACTCCTGGTACTAGACTCCTAGTACTAGACTCCTGGTACTAGACTGCTAGTACTAGACTCCTGGTACTAGACTCCTAGTACTAGACTCCTGGTACTAGACTCCTAGTACTAGACTCCTAGTACTAGACTCCTAGTACTAGACTCCTGGTACTAGACTCCTGGTACTAGACTCCTGGTACTAGACTCCTAGTTCTAGACTCCTGGTACTAGACTCCTAGTACTAGACTCCTGGTACTAGACTCCTGGTGCTAGACTCCTAGTACTAGACTCCTAGTACTAGACTCCTGGTACTAGACTCCTGGTACTAGACTCCTAGTTCTAGACTCCTGGTACTAGACTCCTAGTACTAGACTCCTGGTACTAGACTGCTAGTACTAGACTCCTGGTACTAGACTCCTGGTGCTAGACTCCTGGTACTAGACTCCTGGTACTAGACTCCTGGTGCTAGACTAGTAGTACTAGACTCCTGGTACTAGACTCCTGGTGCTAGACTGCTAGTACTAGACTCCTAGTACTAGACTCCTGGTACTAGACTCCTAGTACTAGACTCCTGGTACTAGACTGCTAGTACTAGACTCCTGGTACTAGACTCCTGGTGCTAGACTCCTAGTACTAGACTCCTAGTACTAGACTCCTGGTACTAGACTCCTGGTACTAGACTCCTAGTTCTAGACTCCTGGTACTAGACTCCTAGTACTAGACTCCTGGAACTAGACTGCTAGTACTAGACTCCTGGTACTAGACTCCTGGTGCTAGACTCCTGGTACTAGACTCCTGGTACTAGACTCCTGGTGCTAGACTGCTAGTGCTAGACTCCTGGTGCTAGACTCCTGGTGCTAGACTCCTAGTTCTAGACTCCTGGTACTAGACTCCTGGTGCTAGACTCCTGGTACTAGACTCCTGGTACTAGACTCCTGGTGCTTGACTCCTGGTGCTAGACTCCTAGTTCTAGACTCCTGGTACTAGACTCCTAGTTCTAGACTCCTGGTACTAGACTCCTAGTACTAGACTCCTGGTACTAGACTCCTGGTACTAGACTGCTAGTACTAGACTCCTGGTACTAGACTCCTGGTGCTAGACTCCTAGTACTAGACTCCTGGTACTAGACTCCTAGTTCTAGACTCCTGGTACTAGACTCCTGGTACTAGACTCCTGGTACTAGACTCCTGGTACTAGACTCCTGGTACTAGACTCCTAGTACTAGACTCCTAGTACTAGACTCCTGGTACTAGACTCCTAGTACTAGACTCCTGGTACTAGACTCCTGGTACTAGACTCCTAGTACTAGACTCCTAGTACTAGACTCCTAGTACTAGACTCCTAGTACTAGACTCCTGGTGCTAGACTCCTGGTACTAGACTCCTGGTACTAGACTCCTAGTTCTAGACTCCTGGTACTAGACTCCTAGTACTAGACTGCTAGTACTAGACTCCTGGTTCTAGACTCCTGGTACTAGACTGCTAGTACTAGACTCCTGGTACTAGACTCCTGGTGCTAGACTCCTGGTACTAGACTCCTGGTACTAGACTCCTGGTACTAGACTCCTAGTACTAGACTCCTAGTACTAGACTCCTAGTACTAGACTCCTGGTACTAGACTCCTGGTACTAGACTCCTGGTACTAGATTCCTGGTACTAGACTCCTAGTTCTAGACTCCTGGTACTAGACTCCTAGTACTAGACTCCTGGTACTAGACTCCTGGTGCTAGACTCCTAGTACTAGACTCCTAGTACTAGACTCCTGGTACTAGACTCCTGGTACTAGACTCCTAGTTCTAGACTCCTGGTACTAGACTCCTAGTACTAGACTCCTGGTACTAGACTGCTAGTACTAGACTCCTGGTACTAGACTCCTGGTGCTAGACTCCTGGTACTAGACTCCTGGTACTAGACTCCTGGTGCTAGACTGCTAGTACTAGACTCCTGGTACTAGACTCCTGGTGCTAGACTGCTAGTACTAGACTGCTAGTACTAGACTCCTGGTACTAGACTCCTAGTACTAGACTCCTGGTACTAGACTGCTAGTACTAGACTCCTGGTACTAGACTCCTGGTGCTAGACTCCTAGTACTAGACTCCTAGTACTAGACTCCTGGTACTAGACTCCTGGTACTAGACTCCTAGTTCTAGACTCCTGGTACTAGACTCCTAGTACTAGACTCCTGGTACTAGACTGCTAGTACTAGACTCCTGGTACTAGACTCCTGGTGCTAGACTCCTGGTACTAGACTCCTGGTACTAGACTCCTGGTGCTAGACTGCTAGTGCTAGACTCCTGGTGCTAGACTCCTGGTGCTAGACTCCTAGTTCTAGACTCCTGGTACTAGACTCCTGGTGCTAGACTCCTGGTACTAGACTCCTGGTACTAGACTCCTGGTGCTTGACTCCTGGTGCTAGACTCCTAGTTCTAGACTCCTGGTACTAGACTCCTAGTTCTAGACTCCTGGTACTAGACTCCTAGTACTAGACTCCTGGTACTAGACTCCTGGTACTAGACTGCTAGTACTAGACTCCTGGTACTAGACTCCTGGTGCTAGACTCCTGGTACTAGACTCCTAGTTCTAGACTCCTGGTACTAGACTCCTGGTACTAGACTCCTGGTACTAGACTCCTGGTACTAGACTCCTAGTACTAGACTCCTAGTACTAGACTCCTGGTACTAGACTCCTAGTACTAGACTCCTGGTACTAGACTCCTGGTACTACACTCCTAGTACTAGACTCCTACTACTAGACTCCTAGTACTAGACTCCTGGTGCTAGACTCCTGGTACTAGACTCCTGGTACTAGACTCCTAGTTCTAGACTCCTGGTACTAGACTCCTAGTACTAGACTGCTAGTACTAGACTCCTGGTTCTAGACTCCTGGTACTAGACTGCTAGTACTAGACTCCTGGTACTAGACTCCTGGTGCTAGACTCCTGGTACTAGACTCCTGGTACTAGACTCCTGGTGCTAGACTGCTAGTACTAGACTCCTGGTACTAGACTCCTGGTGCTAGACTCCTAGTTCTAGACTCCTGGTGCTAGACTGCTAGTACTAGACTCCTGGTACTAGACTCCTGGTGCTAGACTGCTAGTACTAGACTCCTGGTACTAGACTCCTGGTGCTAGACTCCTAGTTCTAGACTCCTGGTACTAGACTCCTAGTACTAGACTCCTGGTACTAGACTCCTGGTACTAGACTCCTGGTACTAGACTCCTAGTACTAGACTCCTGGTACTAGACTCCTAGTACTAGACTCCTGGTACTAGACTCCTGGTGCTAGACTCCTGGTGCTAGACTCCTGGTACTAGACTCCTGGTACTAGACTCCTGGTACTAGACTCCTAGTACTAGACTCCTGGTACTAGACTCCTGGTTCTAGACTCCTGGTACTAGACTCCTGGTACTAGACTCCTGGTACTAGACTGCTAGTACTAGACTCCTGGTACTAGACTCCTGGTGCTAGACTGCTAGTACTAGACTCCTGGTACTAGACTCCTGGTGCTAGACTCCTAGTTCTAGACTCCTGGTACTAGACTCCTAGTACTAGACTCCTGGTACTAGACTGCTAGTACTAGACTCCTGGTACTAGACTCCTGGTGCTAGACTCCTGGTACTAGACTCCTGGTACTAGACTCCTAGTGCTAGACTCCTGGTACTAGACTCCTAGTACTAGACTCCTAGTACTAGACTCCTGGTACTAGACTCCTGGTACTAGACTCCTGGTACTAGACTCCTGGTACTAGACTCCTAGTACTAGACTCCTGGTACTAGACTCCTGGTACTAGACTCCTGGTACTAGACTCCTAGTGCTAGACTCCTGGTACTAGACTCCTAGTACTAGACTCCTAGTACTAGACTCCTGGTACTAGACTCCTGGTACTAGACTCCTGGTACTAGACTCCTGGTACTAGACTCCTAGTACTAGACTCCTGGTACTAGACTCCTAGTACTAGACTCCTGGTACTAGACTCCTGGTTCTAGACTCCTGGTACTAGACTCCTGGTACTAGACTCCTGGTACTAGACTCCTAGTACTAGACTCCTGGTACTAGACTCCTGGTTCTAGACTCCTGGTACTAGACTCCTGGTACTAGACTCCTGGTACTAGACTCCTAGTACTAGACTCCTGGTACTAGACTCCTAGTACTAGACTCCTGGTACTAGACTCCTGGTACTAGACTCCTGGTACTAGACTCCTAGTGCTAGACTCCTGGTACTAGACTCCTAGTACTAGACTCCTAGTACTAGACTCCTGGTACTAGACTCCTGGTACTAGACTCCTGGTACTAGACTCCTGGTACTAGACTCCTAGTACTAGACTCCTGGTACTAGACTCCTAGTACTAGACTCCTGGTACTAGACTCCTGGTTCTAGACTCCTGGTACTAGACTCCTGGTACTAGACTCCTGGTACTAGACTCCTAGTACTAGACTCCTGGTACTAGACTCCTGGTTCTAGACTCCTGGTACTAGACTCCTGGTACTAGACTCCTGGTGCTAGGATGGGTTAAAGCAGAGAACACATTTCACTGTGTGTGCTGTGTGCTCTGCATGTGAGACCATCACAGAGGGTCTCATCCCTCCCAATTCTTCTATTCTAAAACAGACAATAGATGATCCTTTTTGTGGCACTTCACACTTTATCCACCAGGAGACAGTGTTAGCTCACATGTTTCACTGTAACATCCAAATCTCTGCAGACCTGTCATCCATCGCTGGAAGAGAAATGCAGATCAGTGACAGAGTCTCATGTATAGTATGCAATGCAAACAAAACATGGAGGATAGAGGGTAATCATAACAATTGGAAGATATGTTTAAACGCTAATAATGTGCACTTTAATGGTCATGTTTTGTGTGTAAGCTGCAATGTATGAGGACGATTTACACAATGTAGGTACGAGTTGTGATGATTGAGCTCTTCTTAAAGACACTTATTATCCTAAAGATGTAATGTTTGAGCTTAAGAAGTGTTTCAAGAGGCAGGGAGCTGTATTCATGTATCGCCACTGCTTTGTTTGAATAATAGTTTGAAGGTTCAAATGTAGCTCCAATCTCAACTCATCATATCACCATGTGAACTAGGTCAGTTTGCCCAGAGCCGGACTGCTGCGTTCACTTTGTCAAATGGAAGAAATACTGTAGATGTGGAAGAGAGGGGGGTGGACGTAATGGTGCTGATCTCAGGGGCCATAAGACTAATGGAGGGCCAGGGGTCATTGGAGCTAACATGGACGTGTTGGTGTGTTCAATTACCTCCAAACCAATCACCTTCAGTGAGTCTTGTTCCATGGAGAATCACAGAATGATCCGTGTGACGTGTTGAGGGAGTGCCGCGTGGGATACTATAACAACCTAATCTCATATCAGTTCAAATACATGGGGATTATGTACATTATTAGTGGTGGATCAGTGTCTCTGTTGTTTAATAATTGATGTTCTTTAATGGTTAAAGGGCAGAGGGCATGCTGCAAGTCAAAGGTGATGGATTTTAATGTATGTTTTATATTTGAAAAATCCAAAGATGATGTGTTTTAAAGTCCCTCCAGGCAAATGTTCAGAATGAAACGTAGTCAAGTGAGTTTGATTTTGAGGCAGTTGTACTCGACATGAATACCTCCAGTATATGGTACTGCTCATTTTGAAGGCAAATATCATGTTTCCAGCAGATTGATTGTTATTCATGAATACAGCTTTCTTGAACTAATGAAATATGGTGTGTTTTCCATAGGATAAGCTTTCATCAGCGTATACGGTATTAAAAAGTAAGATCTCCACCTTACAAGCTACAATATTACATCAATGTAGGTTACGCATTTCTATCATTATACATAATTCAGGACATTTGAATGAATAAGGCCATTCTGCATAACGAATACTTTTACTTACGCTACTCAAAGTTCATTTTGATTTTGATGCTTTTGTGCTTTTACTTGTGTACGATTGTGTTTAATGTAATATGTCATAATATTAATACTTCCTCCATCAGTGGAAATGTGTGATTTGTGATATCTGCGTATATAAATAAAACTGATTTGTTTGAAGCTATGACCGAGTGATTGACAGTCCAATAATTACATGAAGTCATGCAGAGTTTGGCCATTCATATTTTACGAGTGGCACTAAGACACTTCATTACCTCTCTGTAATGTACACGTTTCCTTCTGTACTGTAACCACCTGGGGTTACAATGATTTGCTGAGGTCACATCCATCAGAAAATGACGTGTTTTTGGCACATTAGGGCAAAATGGTGTCGTTGTGCTAAATAACAGCCACTTTAGGGTGATCATTAAACGGGTGAAATGTAGTGTAACAGCTCCACAAGTAGAACAATGACCTATCATGTCAATCTACTCACATTTTCCACATGTGTTCTCTACTGAACAATTCTGTGTTTTAGTGCTTTTTATTGAACCTTTGATTGGTAAAAGGAAGAATATGTTATTTCATCTTTTAAAAGTTTCATATTCTTATTTAAAATTGTTTTCTTTTAAAGTTTTGCTATATTCTGTAATTTGTCTTATATTCAGACACCAGTTAGTTAATGACGCATCTGCCTTTAACCACTGCCCTGTTAGTTTCAATTGTGCAATAAGTGGATGGATTACACTGTTTTTCTTACTTTCCTGTTGGGCTCCAACTAACGATTATTTTCATTTTTGATTCTTGTCAATGAAATGTCAGGTGATGTATTTTAATGTATGTTTTATAGCTCAAAAACCCAAAGATGTTGTGTTTTATATAATCTAAAACAGAAATAATCCTTATATCTCAGTATGGATTACCCTGCCTGGTACTTTTGACTAATTGTTAGGTCAATTTAATGTCATTATTGTATTTAAATGTCTTGTTTTGAGGGTCCAAATCCCAAAGAGATTCCGTTTGATATGATATAAACTAGAACAAGCAGGAAATCTAAATATGTGATCAGCTGAAACAGCATTATTTCATGTCATCTTTGCATGAAAAATGACTTTATTTATTAAAATAAATGTACTTTATAACAATGTAATGCATGATGTGAAAGACCATAAAGACACATGTAGGTAACCAACATTTATTTACCATTATCAACTTTACAATAAAACCAGTAACATCTGTCAACATTAGCAAAATAAAGAACAGAAATCAATCCAATGTATTTACAGACAAAGCAGATTCAGGCTCACATACGACAGGTAAACAACTCTGCTCCAAACCGCACAGTGAACATAGCAAGAACAACTCTGCTCCAAACCGCAGTGAACATAGCAAGAACAACTCTGCTCCAAACCGCAGTGAACATAGCAAGAACAACTCTGCTCCAAACCACAGTGAACATAGCAAGAACAACTCTGCTCCAAACCGCAGTGAACATAGCAAGCTTAAGTGTTCTTTTTTCATAGTAAGGTAAAAATCAAAGTTGTCTATTTTTTTTTTTTTTCTTTAAACAAACAAGTAATAGCTTCTCTGAATCTTTAATGGTTCTCTATAATACACCACAAAATACTTCAAATTTGGGTTAAAATATAGGAATGTAAAAAGTTGGCAAGTCTCTTTAATTTTCTGATTTCATTTTTTTTTTTTTTGTTGCGAACAGTCATTTCAAGTGGTGGTGTCCTAGTGTGTTATCTAGCTTCTTCAGCAAGGAGGCATCTTTGATTTGCAGATCCGTCTATACGTCATGGTGTCATGGTGTCATTAGCTCGCTTTCTAGCCTTTCAAATCCAGATTTCCACACGGCGACCAGCCCACAGCCTAAAACTCAGTCCGGGTCCAGATGTGGAAGTGATCTAGTGAATCTAGTCTGTCGTCTTGTTATCATGACGAAAAAGTGGCACGTCGAAGGAGTCTCTCACATACATGTGTATATATTTACATATACATATATCCATATACATATGTATACATATACACATATATATATAAATATATATATATACTCTTAAATTTTCTCTCTCTCTCTTGAAAAACAGTTCACTCAGTTCATTGTGAGATAAACGTACAATCACTCCTTCTTTTCAGAGGGAGCCGGGGTCGAGCTGCTCTCCTCTGCTGGTTTCGTGGCCTCGGGGGCCGGGGCAGCTTCCTCTTTGGGGGCCTCCTCTGCTTTGGGGGCCTCCTCTTTAGCCGGAGCCTCCTCTGCTTTGGGGGCCTCGGCAGCAGCAGCAACAGCAACCTCCTCCTTCTTCTCCTCCTTCTTCTCCTCCTTCACCTCCTTCACCTCCTCCTTCTTCTCCTCAGCAGGAGCAGCAGCCCCGTTCTCAGCCGGTTTCTCCTCGGCGGGGGAGGTGGCGGCGGCGGCGGCGGCTTCCTCCTTCACAGCCTCGCTCTTCTTGGTCTTCTTCAGATTCAGCTTGAAGTTGAAGGACTTCTTCAGGGAGAACTTCTTCTTCTTCTTCTTGGGGGTCTCCTTGGCAGCAGCCTCTCCTTCAGGTTTGGCGGCCTCTCCATCTGCAGCGGGCGCCGGCTCAATGGCGTCTCCTGCAGCCGCCTCAGGCTCCTTCGCTGCCTCAGCCGAGCCGTTGGTGGCGGCGGCGTCTCCATCAGTCTTTGTGGAGACATCACCATTGGTTTTCACATGTCCATTCTCCTGAAGAAAGGTTGACAGAAAAAAATAAGATATGAGACAGAAAATCACGTTTGAATTACAAACAATCCTCTGTGCAGATGTTTAGAAAACACAGAGGAGTGGTTTTAGAAGTGCATTTCTGCTTTCTTTGCACAGCATCGTCGAGCTCATCAATTAACCACCGTGTCGCCCGGCTCAGAGGCGACGCCTTGCAGTACTCTAATCTCGCGATAGGCGGCGGTAGCTCCTCACACACCGCCTGAGGTACCAGACAGACATCGACTCAACAAAGACAAGACCGGAGCTCATCGAAGGAAGACTGAAAAAACACTTCCATTTGAGGTTTTTCTCCAAAATAACCAACCTGGCATGAACATTGCCAACTTAACGCTCAAGTAACGTCTTTTGTGTCATTAATTTCAATGAAATCAATGCAAAACATGTAATAATGGTTTTAAGAATTAAATGCCAGATTAAATGTGACTTAGTTATCACATTTTGATGTCAAATGAGCCAAATCGGTGTGCAGACCAACAGGGAGGAGTGGTGCCTACGTGCGCTCGCGCAGCCCCCCACCCCCCTCCCCCTTTAATGCCTGGCACTGTCTAACATGTTGTGCGGATTTTGGGTAAAACCTCCGTCAAAAATAAACACATCAACATAAATGAACTAAACCGACACAAACAACACGTTAGGCTATATTGTTTTATTTAGTTTGTCTCTGTGTCTCAGCAGGAGAAAGCGATGCTTAAAAAAAGCCCCACCTGACTTACCCAAAACCTCCTCACATTCAAGTTGTATCGATTCAGCGTCGACTAAATCATTTAAACTAATGTTTTCATATGAGAAAATCAACTTTGATGCATCTGCAAGTATCTCATCTGTTGAATGACATTGTAATAAAGTGTAATTACCTGTCCATTGGTTTTGACAGCTGCTCCGTCAGCGGCAGCAGCGCTCGCCTCCGCGGCCACATCTCCTTTGGATGCTTGGGACCCCATTGTCTTCTGTGAGTTTTTCTAAAGCAAATGAAAAAGAAAAACTAAAAAAGAGTGTGTTTTTCGAAGTTAATCCAAACTCCAGTTCGAGATAAGTATCCAGTGGTGAAGAGATGAAAAGTACGGTGTTTTTTTTAGTCTTCAATCGGCTGTTATTCCTTTCCTGTGCTCGGACTTGTCACCCCGGTAGAGAGAGACCCTCTAAACTCAACACTGGTTGAACGCAACGCTTCAACATACAGCAGGTTCAAGGCGCCACCCGTGGGCGGGACCTAGCTGGGGTTTGACCAATCAGCGTGCAGTCTGAGGGCAAGTCTAGTCAGCTCTGGCCAATCACCTCTGACTCCCTAATTGGCCCCGCCCCTCAGGAGGACCCCCAGCAATGACGTCCATTAAACACAGCTGAATTCAGTGTTTAACAGGCTTCAAAGTCAAAAACACCACGTTTAAACATACCATTTATCTCAATGAATCATCTATTGTCATTAGTGTGTCTGTTCATGTGTGCGAGTGCCCATTTATTTATGTTATTTGTTGATTATTCAGTTAAATATGAGGAATATCTATAGGACATGTTTACAGTACATTACATGTTATTTAGAGGATTTTTCCAAGTTGATTTTCAATCGGTGCAATCAACTATGAAGATACAAAGTCAAACCAGCAGGAAACCTACACACACATTCACTTTAAATAAGCCAAACCATTATGTGTGTTAGTGCTGTTGCATCAGCTTTGATTAAGAAACTACTTTTTTAGTGCTACATCCGTAAATGAGGAAAAAGCCAATTAATTTGAGGTACTACTTCACTGCGTGTGGTGTGTGTGTGTGTGTGTGTGTGTGTGTGTGTGTGTGTGTGTCTGTGTGTCTGTGTGTGTGTGTGTGTGTTGTGTGTGTGTGTGTGTGTGTGTGTGTGTGTGTGTGTGTGTCTGTGTGTGTGTGTGTGTGTGTGTGTGTGTGTCTGTGTGTGTGTGTGTGTGTGTGTGTGTGTGTGTGTGTGTGTGTGTGTGTGTGTCTGTGTGTGTGTGTGTGTGTGTGTCTGTGTGTGTGTGTGTGGTGTGTGTGTGTGTGTGTGTCTGTGTGTGTGTGTGTGTGTGTGTGTGTGTGTGTGTGTGTGTTGTGTGTGTGTGTGTGTGTGTGTGTGTGTGTGTGTGTGTGTCTGTGTGTGTGTGTGTGTGTGTGTGTGTGTGTCTGTGTGTGTGTGTGTGTGTGTCTGTGTGTGTGTGTGTGTGTGTGTGTGTCTGTGTGTGTGTGTGTGTGTGTGTGTGTGTGTCTGTGTGTGTGTGTGTGTGTGTGTGTGTGTGTGTGTGTGTCTGTGTGTGTGTGTGTGTGTGTGTGTGTGTGTGTGTGTCTGTGTGTGTGTGTGTGTGTGTGTGTGTGTGTGTGTGTGTGTGTGTGTTATGTTTATTGACCAAGATGCAGTCAAAACATGTGGGTTTTCAGACTGAGAAAGAAGAAGTAGTAACTCATGTGGAAGTAGCAAGACTGATGACTGCTTAATTGTTTATTTTAACTGCATTTGTATGTGTGTGTATAGTCTACTGTGTGTGTAAGGACCTTGAATGCACCACTACACTGAGTGCTCAGAGGAGCTCTTGTAAACATAAGAAAAACTGTAATCTGAAAATAGCTCTATTGACTCTACAGTATTTACTGAAGCAATTAATCTGCACTGCATTTATATTGACTGATACTGTGGCGGCTACTTACGGTTCCTGTCATTAATGTTTGAGATTATTGTCCAATCGCTGCATTTTGTCAATGAAAATGTAAGAAAACAGTGTGGTTTCTGTCTCAAAGTCTCAATGTATATGAAGCGATGCACTCCCCTCGCAACAGTTTCACTTTAGCGAGCAGAGAAGTTTCCCCGCTTCTCTGTTTTGGTTTCAGTATCAGTGAAGATGCTTACAGATCCTAAATTACAATGTGATTCAGCACTTAGTCGGAGTTTCAGCCAAATAACTAATGCATTCTTTCATCATATTTGTATAAAGCCATGATTCAGGATCCTGTAATTTAAAGACAGGATAATGAACCCAGTTATATTGATGTGTTTATCTGTCCTTTTTTATATGGAAAATGTTGATTTGACATGCCCTACCAATGCATACCGTTCTCCAGAACACCTGTACAAACAACTCAACATGTGACAGATTTGCATCAGCTGTAGCCGGTCAGTTAGCACAGCAATGTCTCAAAATAAGTGAGTTATGATGGTCACGAGTTTGTGGTCTCGGTCTTTCAGAAATGCCAAATACGTGACGGATGATGCGGGACAAGAATTGGGACAAACAGGTGAAAAGGTAAGTAGGAAAAGACAATTTAAATGTTATTTTCTTGCGTTTACTTTCCCCTTATCTCAAGGACACTATCTATCAGTCTCCGCCAGTAGAAGCAGCTGAATAGTCAACGTTTTGTGAAACAATTGTGAATAAAAGTTGAATGTATTGTTCGATGTTTTGCTCCCGTTGGTAACAGGATCAGCATTGGGTCTAACCGCGTGTCACGCTGTCTCCTCATGTCTCCCTGACTGGATTTGTTGTTCACTTCCGCTTGTCAACAACATACCAGGAACAAAATGTGTCGATGTGATGATCATGCACATTCCACCTGATCGTTTTCTCGCACACACATTCCTCGCAACAGCTGTTAAGGCCACAGATCTCAGTTACGGCGGGGAAAAGACTCTACTGTTCAACGTCACAAATTGTCGTTGCTGCGACCAATCAGCCTAATTGATTTTGCAAGACTCGGGAACATTGGAATGCGTGTCAGCAGCTCGTCCTGATACCAAAGCTGTCGGCTCTCAACATCACATGGAAGTCCACACACACTGTGGCCACATTACAACTGTTACGGAAATGTGTTTATAATTCAGTTTTGTGGGTCTTTCACGGTCCATGCGTAGATTTCTATGCATGTGGTTAACTGCATTGTTTAAAGACAACAATTGATCTGCTATCATCTTAAGTATTTTACTCTAAAGGAGCTGTTTCTTATCCAAAGGCCAGTCTACACAGTGTGTACCGGACACATGAACAAAGGATGGGAACATTTGAACACTACACACACACATCGATTGTCCTCCTATCAAAACCATTGACATAACCTGCTGATGCTGTCATAAGAAAGTAACTATCTATCTATCTATCTATCCGTCTATCTATCTATCTATCTATCTATCCATCTATCTATCTATCTATCTATCTATCTATCTATCTATCTATCTATCTATCTATCTATCTATCTATCTATCTATCTATCTATCTATCTATCTATCTATCTATCTATCTGTCTGTCCGTCCATCCGTCTATCTATCTATCTATCTATCTATCTATCTATCTATCTATCTATCTATCTATCTATCTATCTATCTATCTATCTATCTATCTATCTATCTATCTATCTATCCGTCCATCCGTCCATCCGTCTATCTATCTATCTATCTATCTATCTATCTATCTATCTATCTATCTATCTATCTATCTATCTATCTATCTATCTATCTATCTATCTATCTATCTATCTATCTATCTATCTATCTATCTATCTATGAGCATTCCCCAAACTGTTGCCACAGAGATGAAAGAACAGTATTGTTGTAAAAAATATGTTTGCATGCTGTAACATTATTGTTCGCCCTAGAAAGACTTTAACCAAATCCACAGCAAAAAAAGTTTAAAAAAGTACCTTATGTGAGTAGGGGTGTCCACATACTTTTGGCCACATTGTGTACTGTGGACACATTTCATGAATGGTTTCGAAGGTCTGATTTGCAGGGTGTACATTTGTAAAGATTAAAATCCTTCTTGTATTACTCACTAACGTTTGTAGTAGTAGACAGGATATAGACAGGATTATTATGTTGAGATGTAAGTGGTCTTTTTATATGCATCCCGATGTGATAAAACATCAATCAAGTCTTTCTTCTCTACTTTCCTTCCTACGCTGCTCTACGCTTTGCAGTCCCACTGTGAGGACAACCTTTTCTCACACACGTATCACGCTGTAACTATCTAGCTGTAACTATCTAGCTGTAACTATCACGCTGTAACTATCACGCTGTAACTATCTAGCTGTAACTATCTAGCTGTAACTATCACGCTGTAACTATCACGCTGTAACTATCTAGCTGTAACTATCACGCTGTAACTATCACGCTGTAACTATCACGCTGTAACTATCACGCTGTAACTATCACGCTGTAACTATCTAGCTGTAACTATCTAGCTGTAACTATCTAGCTGTAACTATCTAGCTGTAACTATCACGCTGTAACTATCACGCTGTAACTATCTAGCTGTAACTATCTAGCTGTAACTATCTAGCTGTAACTATCACGCTGTAACTATCTAGCTGTAACTATCTAGCTGTAACTATCTAGCTGTAACTATCTAGCTGTAACTATCACGCTGTAACTATCTAGCTGTAACTATCTAGCTGTAACTATCTAGCTGTAACTATCTAGCTGTAACTATCACGCTGTAACTATCTAGCTGTAACTATCTAGCTGTAACTATCTAGCTGTAACTATCACGCTGTAACTATCACGCTGTAACTATCACGCTGTAACTATCTAGCTGTAACTATCACGCTGTAACTATCTAGCTGTAACTATCACGCTGTAACTATCACGCTGTAACTATCACGCTGTAACTATCTAGCTGTAACTATCACGCTGTAACTATCACGCTGTAACTATCTAGCTGTAACTATCACGCTGTAACTATCTAGCTGTAACTATCTAGCTGTAACTATCACGCTGTAACTATCTAGCTGTAACTATCACGCTGTAACTATCTAGCTGTAACTATCACGCTGTAACTATCACGCTGTAACTATCTAGCTGTAACTATCTAGCTGTAACTATCTAGCTGTAACTATCTAGCTGTAACTATCTAGCTGTAACTATCACGCTGTAACTATCACGCTGTAACTATCTAGCTGTAACTATCTAGCTGTAACTATCACGCTGTAACTATCTAGCTGTAACTATCTAGCTGTAACTATCTAGCTGTAACTATCACGCTGTAAACTATCTAGCTGTAACTATCTAGCTGTAACTATCTAGCTGTAACTATCTAGCTGTAACTATCACGCTGTAACTATCTAGCTGTAACTATCTAGCTGTAACTATCTAGCTGTAACTATCACGCTGTAACTATCTAGCTGTAACTATCTACGCTGTAACTATCTAGCTGT